GGTTAGACTTTTTTGAAGGTTATACACCCCTTCTGCAATTTCAGTGCTTATTTTCTTCTTTCAAAATTTGGAATCTATCACAGACAAACAATACTATTTACAGATTGAGTTTTATATCTTTTGGCAGTTTTTTTCCCGTTGTGTCATCAAGTTCGGCACCCCACTAGCACCAACGATTGACTGCAGGTCTTGGAACTGAATCGTGACAACATTTTTGGCTGAAAGAAAAGTAACCTGGTCATTTTTCCCCCAACTACTGGTCTTACCCCAAACCCAATATAGTTCACCGTCTTTATACCACTATGGATCAGACGGCGTGGACTCATGAAGCCATCGCGCGGAACGGACGGCTGCCATCGACCCCGCCCCACACGCCTGGACATCACCACCCCGTCTGTCCCAACAGACACCGGAATAGACTTTTAATGATACCCCTGGCCTTCCTTCTCATACAGCTATCGCCATCAATTTTTAATTCTGACAGCTCGGCCACCAGTCGGTGGACTAAAGGGCCAAGTCCCCGTGAGCTAAGTCGTTATTTTTTCCGAGGAAGGAAGCCTTTTTTCTCTATGGACACCGGTGCGCCAGGCCGTAGATAACCGAGCCGGCTCTCCCTCTTCGCCCGAGCTCCGAGTCGATTTTGACGGGTCGTTTGTGACATTCATGAGTCCGCTGAGACTTTGGATTAGAGAGCTAAGCATATAAGCAAGTACAGGCCAACGTCTGTCGGTGTAAGGTTACCAACAATGCTCCCACCAGGCGCGCGCAGGGAGCTTTGAAGCCGAGGCCGCGGCGCTTCAGTCGGTATGGCCTTTTCCAATCCGCTGGTCCTGGTAAAAACGGGATCGGATTCCGAACCGCCGGCATTGGTGCACACGACGTACGCGTGTCACCACGGACTGTCCGCTATGCAGGCGTCGCCACGACCCGCGCCCAGTGGTGATTGATACTACACTTCGGTAAATTAGATGCATTTACGGCATTCGGGGGTGAGTGCCTCCAATGTCCGCTCTGAAGTGCAATAAGAGCAACCATCATCATGTCATCATGGTAATGAAGTCTAGAAGCAAAGACACTCGATTTTCCAACCAGGCTAAAATCATTAATATGCAGGGAGACATTGCTCTGAATTAAAAGTCAGGCAATTTGTACATCTACATGCACATCATTGTAAACACTGTTTTGCAGGTAGGCCTACTAGGTCCCACAATTAATACGAAAAACGTTCCGCATTGAGAGACGTACTATGACGAGATTCAAATTCCCCAACCTTTGCTGCATGGGATAAGCCAACCTCGATTGTGATTTTCCCACGAGAAATATGAAGTTAATTTATAAGATATTTTTGTGACATTTTTAAATTTCGGTCACATTTAGTTTTCAATATTTTAAAAGAAATATACGGGACTTAATATATTGCTTTTTTCTATTGAGTGTTACTAGATAAAATTGCGCCCTTTATAGCAAAATACATCTAACAAAACAACCATCATATTGTTTACGAATAACACTCAACTATTTATGCAGAACTCCAGGCCTTTTCTTTTAGACAACCTGTTCAACCTTAAGGTGGGGTTTCGTGAGATCAAAGGACAACAACTTCGACCAATGTGCTGTCGAGTTAATTTCATGTTGGAATCCAGCATCTATACCCCTGGCTTTGTCAAGTATAATATGGGGCAACAAATAGATAATTCTCTATCCCAAATACAGGCCTATCCGAATATTGAATTTTGATCTTGAGTAAGATATGCGATAATAGAATGTGTCTTGGGGTGCTTCACCAGAGATGGTAAATCCATCCTCTTTACAACGCAGATTGTAAGCTCATGTCTGCCGAGATAATAACCTGCAATCCGAGAGGATATTTCTTATTTCTGCTTGCTAGGAAGGATGGTAATCTTACATGATGCTTTTCCAAAAGTGGCTTACACGTTAATCACGTCATTTTAATGGAAAGAGAATCGCGAGTTGCCGCCGGTCGAACATCGCAAAAGCGATTCAAGCGAGCGGACAGCAGCGCAGCGCTCGCCCGTGATCTCACCGCGGAGATTTGAGCTGGGACCGCTACAGGATCCGCACAACCCCGGAGGTCGTACCGTCGCACGATGGGGATTACCTGCCAATAGCTCTGAACACAAATTGTCCATTTTCGCTACAATTTCCTGTGTATTTGGGGAGTATTAGGCTTCATCCCTTGTACCAAAATGGGCCGGTATATTGTTTTTGGTCCGCTCAGCAAGGCCCGCTGGCTGCTCATCACGTAGTGGGATGAGTTGTACCGGGTACTGAGCCGTTTCACCCCACAGCACTTCGGCGGCACAGTCAGCTCTGCCCCTCGCTTTGTCGTTGCAATTCAATCAGCATTATACTGTAAAATGTTGATCATCAGGATTTGCATATCTGCAACACAAGCCGGAATATTTCCTTTCAAAACAAACCTAATTCGGCACAAATAAACAGAAAAGTTAAAAAGACAGTCACTGGAATGTTTTTGTTATTGTAATCCATTTTAAATTTTTAGATGAGCAAGGAATGAAAGGAAACGTCTCGGACAAGGATTCAGTGATGCTGGAAATCGGCAGAAAATCAACACTTATACATGAAGAAATAAAACAACTGAAGATCAAGTAAAGGACAGAAGCGTGTGCTAAACCTGAGCACAGTTTCTCTTTGTGGTTCATCCGAGAATATAAGATTGGATTGTAACTTCGAACCGTTATAAAGCACGTGTAGAGACAGGAGACAGACATGACTGTATATAGGTAGAATATCAACATTATCATGAGTTGCATGGTTGACTTACTGAACAAACACACTAATTCATTATCCGATTAGGCCTATAGTGTTAGGTTGTCTGACTAACTACTATGTTTGGGGTGATCCATGTTGTGTCGGGCTGTAGTTTATCATTCACCGAGTTTTCTTTCCACAAATCAACGCCTAAAAGAGGCTTGCCACATCAGGCAAAGCCAGACTATATGCTTCACTGATTTTCTTTCTTTCCTTTTTAATGGAACAATTTGCAATATAAGGCCAGATGGCTACTTCAAAGTGTGAACTAGATTACGAGGACCAAGAGTCACTTGTCGTTATAACTTTAAAAAAATAAAATCAAACTTTGTTTCCAAAGTCAGTGCCTTTCAATGAAAAACAATCACCACCAGACACACATTGAACATCCAAATACACTGGCGTTCGCTTCTTTCTCTACTGCAATATATTTTTACTCCTACCCCAGAAAAAAAGTTTCCCTGAAATTTTCCAATTGCGAAATAAGGACACACCCCTTTGTGACACGCCCCCTCCTGACGTCCAATGTCGGCTGCGTCCCACCGCCGTTCCCCGACGGCCACACGGGCTACCCGCTCAATCCAACCGTCTCGGCTCCACCGTATACAACCCCCGTGAAATCCCCGGGCGCGACGCCGGGCGAAATCCACAGGACTAAGATCACGATAGCCAGCTCGGGATGGTGTGAACAATTACCAAGTTGTAATTAAACCATCCATCAGTGTCAGTCTGGCCAAGTCTCGGGATGAATCCCAGATCAGGCCGGGGAATTGGTGGTGGAGTCTTTTTGGGGACGGCCCGTAATTGGCTGGAAGTCGGTCCGATTTTCCCCTTGTGCGTATTAAACTTGGGCCAAGCTCGTCGAGTTAATATTATTGTAAGAGTCGCTGTAAAAATGATCAGTGATTCTCTGGTATTTTGATACAAACTGAGTTGGTTGGCATTTTAGCCATGTAAATCACGGTCTCACATAAGACAAACGGTTTTTCATTATGGCTCCGATAAGAAAGCCATAACAACTGAGCAAGTTGTCAATTATGGGTTTCCCATAAGAACTAGAAAATTTCAAGCGAACCCCAAACCCAATCAAACATCCCCTCCTTATAAATGACAGTGTTCAAAAAATGAAGATGTATAATGCCTTGCCCTTTAGAACCCCCCCCCCCCTCACAACCAAGCATGCTTCCCATGCACCCCCCCCCCATACCCTCAAGCAAAAAAGTGCGTCCGGTTGCCCCTTGCCCCCCTCCCGGGCTCAGTTTTTAATGGAAAGCGAAATGCACTTTTTGTGATTACAAATTCACCGGGTGCCTCCTCCAAAAAATGAGCCCCCCCCCCCCTCCCCCTGCAAATTGGACCCCCGGCTATATGCCACTGCCAAAAACTTATTTAGTAAACCATGTGTACGATACATCAGCAGACCATGGCAGATCTTTCACACCCTAGCAATGTCAAGTTGGAAAAAGTAAAGTTTAACGATATTTTCCTTGTGTATTGGAGGTTGTTCAAAACCTTAGCCCACGCAAATCAATCCCATAGTCGTCAAAGTAAGCCATCCGGTGCTCGAAAAAAAGAGACAAAAAACCCAAGAGTGAGGCGGCCAAAGACCACCGGAAATTTGGTTCTGATCCACTTGCGAATTGGAAGCAAGTCCCTAGAGAGTTGCTAGTTGGACGCTATACTGGCGGGCGAAGCTCCGTGATGCTGACGGCGCGGCTCTCCACTACTTCTCCCGTCTTGATAAGGTCGACTGCGCACCATGTACCACCACTATTTCCTACACCCAGGTCACGCGTGTAATTTAATGGAATGAAAATGAGGCACGAGGTGCAGGCGCGCGCTAGCGCACCTGCCACGCGGGCCGACTGCGGCCTGCCCCTCCGCGGCTTCCCCTCGCCCCCTCTCTGTCCTTCCATAATTGATTGCGCGTTTACGACGTTTTAATCGAGAACTGATACGACCGGGATTACCCCTGAACGCACATGGCACATGGCAGGCCTATTCAGTTTCACTATCAGACTGTAACGGGCTTTGCTGGAGAAGCCCCAAACCACAAAATTATTCCTCATTCAAAATAAAATTAGAAAAACACTCAAGTAATTAGTTTGCATTTAAAAAGTGCAATTAACTATACCAAAACATTTGATTACAGTCAAAGAGGAGATAAGGAAGATTACATAAAGTACAATTCAAGTAAAAAAGACCAATTGACAGCTTATACATTCGAAATTTTATTGCTGACTTCTTTTTGTTTTCAAAAGGATGAATAAAATTAATATGATGGGCGACCACAAACTAGCAGACACTTTCCTCTTCAAAAATTGCTGTTCTATCAAAACATTTAAGAAAATTGCATATGTTTACCAACTGCAATGTCGACAATGTAGAAATTAACCACACTTATTTCTTGAGCTTTTTATGATTTAGTATTTGAAAGCCTCTGAAATAAACAACCAACCAATCACAAATGAAAGTTTACATACCGGGAGGGATATATGCCCCAACTCTCATCTCATAGAGTAACACAACTTTTAGTAATTCAGCAAAGAGAGTATTAACTGAACACTATGCAAAACTTATGTTAAACCAAACTTAAACAGTAGGTTTTAACAGCAGTTAATTGTACCTTACGTTGATACTTCAGATAAGAATCAGGATTTTTCAGGAGCATTTCATTTCATTTCAGAAGGTAGGTGATTTACTCATGGTGTAGTCATCATCATCATCATCAGAATCTTGTTCTAATCTGATTCTCTTGTGATTATCTTTCCCTGTGTCTCCCCCTCCATTATCCAAGCCTTGGAAAAAGAAAAATGCTTTAGTTTCCGACTCACTTGCAGCAAGCAAAGGATTGCCACGTCTACCTGGTCTGCCTACAACAGAACCAACTCTGGCCCCCACATCATCGTTCACAGAATCAAAGGTTCCCCAATCATTATCTCCATCAGACCTTAATCTGTTTGATTCTTTGAGACGGCTTTTACCAGCTTTGGATCCACTGGGATCTGTGTTATGTCTGAGTCTCATTAGCTGTGGTCTGATGGTTGGTTCAAAGCGATTTACCAATGAGGACGATTCTTCTGAGGCAGCAATGGTTGAAGACTCGGGTAACACTGGACGCCTAGTACCTCTTGGAGGCAACAATATGGATCTGGAAGCTGCATTAGAAGACATGGAACTGTGTCTGGAATAACTACCCAACTGAGAGGCCTGACCAACTCCGTCAGCGGATAGTGGAGCAGCACCACTCATGTAGGTGTCTGCTTCCTGAGGCTTGGATGATGTGGATCTCTGTGTGATTCTATAGTCTGGATGATTCTTAGACCATGTGACCCTTGTATTTCCTGAATCGAAATCCATCTTCATATCCTGTGATTTGAGATGAAGGCTCTTACAATAAGCTGTGCCTGTTGGTTGATCACTATTCCCCTTGTTCAGAGCAGGTGTGATTGGTGCGAAGTAGCATGTGTCTTTGTTGATAAGATCACTGTTCTTGGAAGGCACAAAGGACTTGAATCCCTTGAAACCCTTGATGTTAGTTTTAGTTACGGCATTGGAACACCCTGCTTCTCCCTCCTGATGGCTGAGCCGTTTCTGTTTCACCCTCTTCTCCGCTTCTTTCATGAGCTTGGCACAATCCGAGATCTCAGAAGTCAGTGTAAAGTCCAGATCAGAGAAGGTAACATTCTGATCCAGAGGTCCTACATCAACCATGTTGCCCTCCAGCAGCAGACCATGGGTGTCAGCTTTTTCAAGTGAGAATTGCAATGCTGCGATTTCGGGAGAGTCCTGTCCAAAGTCAAGTTGACGGTGGCAGGACGGGGAGATTTTAAACTTCGATTCAAGACTCTCATCAGGAGCTGACGGTCGCAGAGATCTGTTAGCAGAATCCAAGGTCAGTTTTCCCATAGCTGTGGATGGGGTGCTTCTAACTGGGCTAGGCTCGTCCAGATCTGAATCGTCATCACTGCCAAGAAGCTCTTTGTCATTTTTCCTTGAACCCTCGCCAACAGCTCCAGATCCAGGCTTGGGACGTACAAGCACACGACTTGCCTCTTTGTTCCCGCTTAAACTCTTACGGCCATCCTTGGAGAGTCTCCCCGAGTGTGAATTTGCACTGGCGCTTTTCTTGGTGGATGTAAATCGGTATCGATCCGAATTGTGTACCCTGATTCCATCAAATGGCAAGAGTCTTGATCCACTGGAAGATGTGCCCACATCCTCATCTGCAAGAGGTCTCGGATAAGTCAAACATCCACCCGATGATGCAGGGGGAACAAACTTACTAGTATCATCCAGACTGTTATCCATACTCCTGAAAGTAAGATCAGTCTCAGATGGTTCTGAAGCAGCACTTTGAGCTCTTCCAGTTGAAGTTGTCAAAGTTCTTGCGGTAGATTCCTTCCCATGACAGGGTCTCTTCCGAGGAAGGGAACCAAACAGAGACTTGTAGTTTCCCAATTCGGTCTCCAGCTCTTCGATGTAGGTGTCGCTTCTCTCCAAGGCACTCTTGAGCTGGCTGACTTCACGTCGACAGGAATCAAGTTTGGACTGCTGGGCCATGGATGTATACTTCTCATACCTGGATTGGACAAAAAATAACGACAATATAATCATTGATTTAAGTGTTGAAATTACTTCCAGGTCCAGAAGCAGATGATTGATCAAAATACTGTTACAAATCCAAATGGAAATTGGATAATATAATCTCAACATTGAGGGGCAATAGGTCTGTTTTTATGAGTGCCTTTTTTTTTAAGTTCCCTTCATTTTGTAATCATGAATCTATCCTGGCAGTAATTTTACAATTAACTGTATCATTCCAATTATTTCTAAGTCGTTATCTTTGAATGCATTGAGTACATGTATGTCAACAATTTCAAGAAAATCCAAAAGGTGCCATTCAATGAATTTAAGGATGATCCAATTACTAATAAGTTACAACTATTTTGTTTCTGCATTATTCTCATTACTTTTGACATTCTACCCTTCTTGTGGAGAAAACAAAAATTCAAAAGTTTTGCTGTTCTGGTTACAACAAGGTTACAACAACACCATCAGATCAAGGGTAACATGGAATAACACAAGTAGGATGTTGTCATTGTTCTGTCCATTATGAGCCTGAATGGACAGGAATGTTCCCAACAAATTAACGGTCTCATCCATGAGACAGCCTTTCCGTTCTCACCACAAGACTTAACACTAACAGTCACCCAATGAATAGGATTGCTTAATTCTTTTAGAAATACGAAACAGTTAAATACAGGATGGGTACTCAGAACATCAATATTACTGTTTGATCTCATGTAGGAATTTCTTAGGATCTACTGATGATCAAGTGATCCCCACACAGTGATCCTATTTATTGATTACATGGATTAGAAGGGCTTAGTGTGTAGAGTAACAAAGGGGGCTTTTGACGGCTTATAGTGTAATCCAACAAAGGAATCCATCGATTCTTGGGCAGAATTCATAGGTAAAGTATTGGGGCAGTTGTCCTGCACAGTGTAGCGAGTATAAACAGTCATGAAATTTTCATTCGTTGTCTTTTTGAACTGCAGCAAAATATCGTGCATAATGCAGAAGTTCTGTTGTCTGCATGGGAGGGGAAAGATGACATTAGAGACTTTCTGCAGTTGTCAAACACTGTCTTAGCTGAGATTTTTTCGTGGGCATGCATATTCAAGTTGGACTAGCCACACGTACATCATTTATTCATTATGATCTTTCCTCAATGTACATGTACCGTAATTGTAATATAGTTGTAGTGGCAGATAGTGTACAGGTGCCTAATAATGCAGGCTGTTGTAAAAAGCATGGCCACAATGTCTTTTAAGACGGCATTTATTTAATCAATAGTTTTGTTCAGAAAAGTATCACACACACACACTAGTCAGAATAGCGCCCTCTTGGGCCCAGTTCATCAGATTAGTTGGACATAAAAAACTATATGTACATTATGCACTTACATCAATTGCAGGATAAACTAAAGACTCCCCAAAAATGGAAAGTGTTCAAAAGTACACAATTCCTCACGTCGTGTAACCCTTCGAAAACTGAAATTCAAATGCTGTTTCATACTACTCCAATCCTCCCTGAAGCTGAGTTTTCAAGGGACATTTTAAAAGTGGAAACAGCCTGCTTTAAATTAGGAACTCAAATGAGACCAACCTGGGAGAGCCAAGATTTCCTGTATGGAAATAATGTTCTGCAAGCGTAATATACTAAAACAAGAAAAGCCTGTTCTGGTATGAGACACATTAAAAAAAATCCTGTGTTCTATCCAGAAATTTGAAAAGTTATTGATTAAAATAGAGGAAGATTTAAGCCTTTGAGATGTTTAAGAGCAATATTCAATTTCTAGATAATGTTTTTTTCTTCCTTTGAGGTTTTATGAACATCCTCCATTTCAATGCCAAATTTTATGGCTAAAGAAACAAAATCTATGATTAGAGGACAAGGAAGAAGTACAAGAAAAGTCTGGTTCTTTTTCTGAATTTCTTTTCAAAATTGAACCTTAAAAAGGCAAATTATACAAAAAGGTAAACTCCATTCTAAACATTTCTTTCCACACAATACTAATGTCAACCAACCACATTTTGTGGAAGTACTATTGCCAGAGGCCATGCTGTACATACTTGGTATGTACTTATTATTCTGCACACACGTCTACAGCATATTTTACTGTCACCTGTAAGTTATTTTTAAGACTACCATTCTTATTATTTCTTATTTCTTCCCCCCGTTTAGACATTGATAAAGTGGCAGAGCCATCTTGCCAACATCTCCCACTGATCCCGGCTCCTTTTCCTCTCTCTGATGTGCCGCCGCGACACTTGTTGTCTCATGAATTTTTGAATGGCTCCCTCAACTCATCTTTAAAGATGGGGATTCTGGAATTAAGTGTCGGGAGAAATCCACCGTGGATTCTTCACAGCCCATCTGTGCAAGTATCCTCTCAGGATTACACATGAAGGGGAGGGGGGGGGGGGAGAGAGAGAAAAACAACTTAACAGCTTTCAAACTTCTCTGGCACAACAGAAGCAACTGCTTCTGTTTCTCCTTATTCACTGTAATTCCATGAATTGAAATGAAAAAAAAATAAAACATATATTTTTGTTATAATTTCAGCAATCTCAACAGAGGAAGAGTTGCAGTTTTCTTCAAAAGAAATGTCCGCGGGAAACATATAGACCTTGGAAATGTTCTTCATGAGTTTAATAACGGTAAGTGTCAAAAACAAGTTTGATTATTATATTTGGACAGAAAAAGCCAGTTTTGGCTTATAAATGCAAGATCAGGACCTATATAGATTACAACTGTAAGTTGGAATAGCCTCAATGAGTCATGATTTACGTTTATCAGCAGAATAGGACAAATCGCTTGATGGAATTCTAAAATAATGTAGAAAATGGCGTTGGGATATTGACCTTTCATGTACCATGAAATGAGCTGTTTTCCGCGGTTACTACCACTATAAGAAATCCCTTGACACCAACTTTCAGTGCCTTGCTTTCAGACTGTTCAAAACTAGTGGACAGGTTTGAAATATAAATGGCCAGCAGGCAAATCAGGCGCAGGCGTGTGATCAGAGCAGATCAAGACCACGAGACAGGTACACTGCAAAATTTATACAAACTTGACGTTTGGCACATTGCGACCAGCAATATGCCACATGTGTTTAAAATATGGATGCCTGTTGTTCCGACACCGCAGCTCAGTGAAAACAGATGACCACGAAAGGAGGTGTGAACCAGTGTGCCCGCTGACGATTAAAATTTCATCAAATCGGGTACTGCACTGTAGATCAAGTTGGCAGTCACACCTCGCCAAATCAAGAACACTTTGGATCTGGATACTGATACTGTTTCAAAAGCTATCTGCCGATTTGATACTGGGTCAATTTAAAAAGTAGGCCTGATTTTATTTTTTTTCATATGGGGCTAATTTTTGATATGCTAGATAGAACAAATGTGTGATGCCAACTCCAAACTCTGAGGGAGAATAAGGCAGTATATGAAGTGGTCTCTGAATTCAGGGGAATGATAAGAAATAATCAGATAAAACAGATCTTCCCTTTGTCCTGAAAATACTCATTTTTCAAACTGTGTTTCTCTGTTCAGAAAACTGGCATCTTTACCATGTTTACAGGAGTATTTCAATGAAAATCAACTGAATGACAAGAAACTATCATGTATGTTGGGCCCCCAATTTGTTCGTTTTTGGGGTTTGGGTTTTTTTGTGGTTGTTGTTGTTTTTAGGGGAGAGTCGCGAAAAAGTCATCTTTTATTAAATTATTAACCAATGACTCTTGAATTTAAAAAACAACTAAAAATTTTAAAAAGTCATATTAAACGTTTACTTGAAGAACATGTACCTAATTTACAGGTGTCTAGTATAACACATTCACCAATTAAAAACAATAAGCCAATAATGAATGAGTCATTCCATAAGGTAAATAAAAACATCGGGTGTTTGCATCACATAGATGCACGCTCTATAGCGTACTTTTCGACTTATTCAGAATCAATGATTCCGGTGTACCCAGCAGCTGTCTGCCGTTCACCAATTTCTCACATTGGCGGGCGACCTTGGCCGGTGTTCCTCCGGTATTAAATCCCCATCAAATGGCTAAGTGATCTCATTGTATGCTGGGCACCACTGATAATTGTTTCACAGCATTGAGGTCTCTCTGCGCCCACAGCTGTATCCGTCTTAATTGTGGGGATGGATCGGTGTGGCGCGATCAAACGATGTATAGATGCACACCGCACACTGATCGAGAAGTCAAACTTATAGCTTATTGTGGCTTTTCACTGTTTTCACAAATTAGGCAAAGTACTTGAAGGCGGTATTCAAATTAAAGTAGTTTACACCGCCTCGCTAATTAGTCTTGGGAAATTTTGAGTGATTTTAACACAATGAAGTTTAATTGCACACCTACATAATGAGTTTTAAAAGCGCAACTGACTTTTAAAATAAAGCCATCGTTTTGCTGCTTTCCATTTGAACTGGCAAAGGTGATGTATTACTGACAGATAATGTATACTATCACAATATAATATTGCATTAAAAACAGGTATTTTCTGCGTCCTTTGACTACCGCATATTTACACTATGAAAAATTCAAAAGGTAACCCAGCCCACTTTCATTCCACAAGCGAAAAGTGAAAAGTCAATTTAGTCTGCTAAATGTTGATTATCAATGTTAACTAATTAATGGACTTGGTCTTATTGATTTCTGGGTTTACATGTACGTTCAGGGTTTGCCACCAAACATGGCTACCCAATGAAGCATGCGCTGATTATTGAAACAAGCAGCAACTGCTGTATCTCCCATGGGGTTTTTGTGACAAAAGAAATTGATGAAATTTGCCAAAGATTGTTTACATTAATCTAGTGCATGAACAGACATACAGTTGCATGTAGCTGCTTAAAAGGGAATTGAAGGAAGGGTCTGCTCCTCATTAAAAAAAAAAAAGCATCAGTTTAAATAAAACAAAGGGGTTAAAAATAAAATTCTTTCTTGTTATTTTTTTCCACTAACAGAAAAGCTAGAATTAAAAAAAAAAAAAACCCAAATGGCAGGATCAATTTTTGAATGAAGTTTTGCCTGTAGCACTTTCAAAAAGCTAGGATATGAAAGCCCAATCAATGAGCTTTCTTTTAGTACAAGAATGAATGTACTTTTCAAGTTATGGAATTTTGAACACAAACACCGTTTTAAAGTTCTGTCCACCGATCACAAAAAAGGTAAGCGTTCTTTTGTAAAACGAAAACAATTCACATGCATCCCTATGAAAATTGTTTTCGTTTCGCTGAAAGAACACTTCCTTTTTTGTGATCCGTGGACAGAACTTTAGAATGGTGTGTGTGCTCAAAATTCCGTAACTTAAAAAGTACATGAGCGATTTGAATGATTCTTGTACTAAAAGATAGCTTAATAACTGGGCTTTCATATCCTAGATTTTGAAAGTGCTACAGGCAAAACGTCATTCACAAATTGGTCCTGCCATTTAGGTTTCGGTTTTTTTATTCACCCGGTAAATGTAGGTTTCGGTTTTTTTTATTCACCCGGTACATGTACCTCACTGCATGCACTGACATGGAGTTTGTTCATTGTCCTAGTTCCATAAAAAGTACAAATAGAGATGAATAATTAAGTTGCACTCCTAGTTTTGTTCTGTCGCAAACTTTCATCTTCCCTGCCTTGAATACCTGCCCCTAATTTCTGTGGTCGTTTGCTCCCAAAACTAAATAATAAATTGGGACGATCAATACCAAAACTTTGCTGTGGCCTCGCTTCCGCTGCGCATCCCCAGTTTGGTGTTCAGCGATTACCATGGAGACGCCCTTTCATTTATTCATTAGTCCCCCTGCCTTGCTGAGTGGTATGAAATTTTAAACATCAGCCTTTGTGTTTTCCGCCCATTGTTCCTTGGCTCATCAAATAATAAAATGACTAGCTATCTCGTGTCTAGGAGGAGATAATGGCATTGTTAAAATTTTAAAACCCACTGTTTACTGTCAATCAGATATGAATATTTCAGGTATCATCGGCCCATCAATGCGGCGCTACCTTTCCAAAAGGAGCGGCGCCATTCACGGCGGCAGCTTTTAAAAATTCAGCACTGCTATCAGCTACCCCCTTTTGTTAATTGGCTTGTTCAGCAGGTGCGCACAAACATGTTTACACAATACAGGGATCACTGACTGGTCCTGTGCTACATGTGTATATGGATCCATTTCACAATAGAAGCTTTGGAGGGTAACTCACGTCACTTTTCGTTTTTTGACAAGTGAGATCAGACAAAAGCACACTACCAGGGGGGCTGCGGGGGGGGGGGGGGGGGGGGTGGCTGGTTCAGTGCTAGGGTGAAGGGTTTCAGGATGGAAACCACAACCACAACCACTCTGCCTTCCTTCAAGACAAATCTGTTACCCTACATAATATTGTTGAAATTACACCAGTTTGTATCATAAGAAGCATGGTTACTTACTTGCGTGGTGAACGAGTGGCAGCAGCCTGTTTCAATCGACCATTCTCAGTTAACAACGCCCGGTTATCAGTACTCAGCTTGATATTTTTCTGCAAAATGCAATCAGTAGAATAGAAAAATAAATGCTCAAATTTCACACTTCTTAAAATTGTACTTAATTTCATAAGGGGCAGCCATTTTCCAAATTTTCTTTCTGTAATCTCCTATCTTAATTGATGAATCTTGTTTCCTTAAAAAGAGAGCTTTTGTTGTTGAACAAAAACTTTGCTGCATCCTAACTTAAAATAAAACTTGTGTATACTATGAAAATGTTGGCTGCATTAGCAAAATGTTGAACTGAAAACATTTTTCTTGTGCTTGAAACTGTATACATGTCACTATTTTGTTGCTTGCACACACCATTTTCAGACGAGATGGGATAATGAAAATTATCAAAACTCAAATCACTATTTTCCAGTCTTTCCTTTGTACTACTAATGACATTGTACTTTAATGATGAAAGCATTTGTCACATAAATTGCCAATTGCCATAATGATGGGGGGGGGGAGACTGTTGGATCGACAGAATGAAAGCGTACCAACAATAACAAAACAAACAATTTATTTTTTTTGGTTTGAAATGCTTTGTTTGGTACTTCCTGTCCTTGCCAACACGGGGATTAATTTCCACTCATTACGCACATTTAATTCACGCTTTTGTAATGAAATGTATGAATCCAAATTAATGGCGAAGTCATTGTTGAAATGGAAACTGGGTCCAGCGTCCGGTCATTAGAATTTCTCTGGGGACATACATGTATCCCTGCAGTACGCCTGTTGTACCAACGGGAAAAAAATGAACTCGAGTCTTTCGACAATTAGCAGAATCAGCCAATTCATCAATTCGGTTCCAGTTACTGCTCACATTCACAGATATGACAACGCTATGCATCACAGAGGTTGTGTCGGGGGGCAGGGGATGTCGGAATCAATAATTAATTCCTAATTAATTTGTCGTATCACCTGATTCATAACATAAATGAAGGGGATTAGTCTGTTCCTGCGACTGACTGTTCCTGGGAATGATTGCACATCATCACAGTGCTTGTGTTTCAGTGCAAGTTTTTTTCTTCCCTTTTTGACCTTTTTGTTCATGAAATGATCGAGTCAGATCAAACAAGTTGGACTGCTTGTAGTTTACAGCATACAGTTAAGTCTCACAGTAAAGTTTTAAAAAAATATGTTCAAACTGAATTGCTGATTTTCTCAATACTTAATGAGTGATCTGGTGAGACACTGAACAAAGGTGCAAAGTTAACAAAAAACATGCCTGTGAATATAAGTACCGGTACTCCTATTTTATGTTATTGACAAAGCTCCCAATAATACTGATCTCAGCTATGTATCAACAGAAATAACCCCCTGCCTTCTCCTCCCCTACCCCCTTTCACTGCAACAAGTATTAATGCGCAAAGAGAAAATTGTCCATAAAACTTAATTGAATTGAGTGATTTGCAGTGCACCTTGTACACATGGGTGTGATTTCATATAGATCGTGCATACTGTATGACATTCTACTTTAGAAAAAAAAAGCAATATCTTCACTTAAAATTTAAATGCCAAGTGCCCTACCTACATTGTACAAGTAGATGTAAGGTGCATCCGTGTGCATACATGTATAAAGTACAAATGTAGCTATACATGTTTACCGTAGATAAACATTATGTACACAAATAGCATGAACATGGTAACTGCATTTATAACTAATTGTACATGTTGTAAATTATTTGAATTTGTCTAAAAAATGCCACTTGTCAACTTCACGGTCAACCCTCCGTATCTCATCCTGCAATTTTTCACTTACACACGGCACTGCACAAACACAACTTCATTTCGAACTTGTGGAAGACTTGTAGCTACTGTTATGTAAATTAAGTCTCATTAAATGAATGAAGTGAATGCCATAAATGTAGCCTGCTCAGCACAGTATGGCATGGTTATCATGATTGCAAAATAATGGCTCACTAATGAGATTAGAAAATCCATCATTTGTCATCTCCCTGCAATGCAACATTCTCCCTAAAAAAAAACCCTCAATTACCGACTGACATCAAAGTTAAAGAAAAACAAACCCTCAGTAACATGATAAATGGACTGGGATTACGGTGCGTGCGTTCAACTTGAAGCAGCACGGATCCATTGTTGGACCAACATGTCATGCATGAAGCACAAGATTATTATTCTTCAAAATCTCATTGTCTACAGGCCCAAGCGCATGTGTAGCGACCTCCAACTTCAATGAGTTTATAACTGCGATTGGCACATGTATGATATAGCCTTGACCATGTTGACATTTAAAGAACAGTTGGTATTCAGCGGTTATCTGAAAACGTGCCACACAAGCTTGCAAAAAATGTGCCTATCCACCGTTATATTTGTTAGGCAGTTGGCAATACGAGGCATATCTCAAATGCAAAACAACTTGTACAGTTCAAACATTTTTACACTGTCTATTGTGATGTTTGAGGGGTGTATGTATATGGCACCTGAGGCAAATCTTCTGGATAAAGAAATGTTCACAGGATTGTAACACAAAAATACAAGCAAGAAAAGGCAAAATACCCATAGTGATTGTACACTTCCAGGTTAATGATCTTTTTGTTTGGTTTTCTTTGTATTAAAAGCACTTGGATCTTGTTCAAAGGGTTATAAGTAGTACCCGCATTATCATTATTATTACTGAATGAAAAGTGTGAAGTGCACGTTATGGTGAATGCTGGCTTCTTAAACTATCTTAAATTACCTCTTTCAGTTTGTCCATATCCTGCTTGATTTTCTCGTACGTCAGCGTAGCTTGTTTCAACTTTGACCTGAGTGCAGACAGGACTTCGCCGTTGTCCGACCCGTCCTCGCGTGACGATGACTCCAAGCCGTTGATCCAATCCTGTTGGCTTGATGAGGAGGGCCTGCCATGCCGGTCCCGTTTCATTCCCGGTGACAAAGACGTTGGCTCGTCCCATTTCCCTTTGCCCTTCAGCTTAGAGGCAGAGGGTGAGGATCTGGGAGAGGGCAGACTAGAATCCCTCCACACTTTGGTCTTGGAGTTTGGGGAGCTGACAGGTGCCGCACCTGTTGAGTTGGAGGCTTTCTCCGACCTGGATGCAAGATATTTCTTGGTGTCGGCAAGCTGCTCTTGTAGTTGGCTGTTGGAGTTCTTGAGGTTTTCGTTTTCCTGCTGGAGTCGTTTGATTTCATTCTGTAAAAGAGAAGACAAATCTGTAACTTCACAAACTGGTTTGCTAGATCTTGTGTCCTCTTGGAAATGTTTCAAAGGTTCTTCACTCATAATTTCAGAGCATTTTGCTGAAAGATTTGGTCACTGAGATGTAGAAACATCTTCAATTCTAAAAAATGAAAAACAATTCCCAATCAAGTCCCAAAATTGCAAACTCTATAGACGCACGTACCTACACTCGGTGTGCACAGGAGTCCATTCCACAAAAAAAAAACAATAAGAGGGCCTCAGAAAAACTACAACAAAATGTAAAATATGCATTATTTGTCTTAATACCACCTGAAAAAATGAAATGGAATTTGTTCCACAAAGATTAAAATGGAGCCAGAATACATTTATTTACAACAGAACATTGATGATGAAGAGAAAAGAGAAAAGGCAATTTGTAAGTACCTCACAATCTTGGTAGAGGATGTCGAATCTTGCTCTGCGGAGAGCAGGACTGGACATGTAGGAATCATTCTCATTCTCCTGATTTTGTCCTCCTGTGGCCCAAAACAAAAAATGAGAAATTTGATTTGAAATCTGAAAATTTCACAATTTGTCATTCGTACTTTCATTTTGATAGGACTGAATTCCCAGCATCAGACACTGCACATCGTAGAAAGGAAGGACTCCATGTGTATCATGTGTAGCACATCAGTAGTTGCAAAACATAAGTTTTGCTGACGGACACTTAAAATGATGTCATTCCATTCATGTACATCCATGCGTGGGTGACCTCCTCTCCTGCAAAGACATCTTGTGCACATTCATCATGTTCAGTACAAAATTGGTTGCGCATGCTCTATGACACTGGCATTCAAACGAACCAGCGTCGAACCAGCGTCGAACCAGCGGATTCATACGATTGTAGTGATGCAGTTGAAGAAAAGCAAAAAAAGCAAAAAAAAAACCAGATATTAAGAAGTAAAGTGAAGTTGCACAGTTAATTGTACTTCAGGCTCACACTCAACACATCTGATTGAACAAGTTGTAATTGATGCCACAGAAACATACACGGAAACTTGCAGCATTTCAAGTTTTTTTGCATTGCTGTCCACTCCAGATACACTAAACACCACAGGTGTAGGACAACATGGGAGGATTCGGTTCACAAAGTCGCATTCTGTGAATTTATGATGAACAACTTCCTTACTCCACTGAAAATAATTAGCTCTTGACACAGTAATATATCCAGAAAATGCGGAGGTCGTGATCCTATTAAATCCAATGTGCAACAACTTGGCATCCATGTCAAAACTGTCCTAGAAATCATAAGGGAAGTATTACACCATGCAAAACTGTGAGGTTACAACAGTTGCATAATCAGAGAAATAAGCTCTTGATTTCCGTAATTCCAAAAAGGTGCAACTCACTCTGCAATATCACTTGCAAGAACTGACTCAACAACCAAAGCACGCTCAGTTATAAACGCACTACTCAAAACCATACGGCTTATAACAAAGTCAGCAAAAGCCATAAATCTTGCAAGATTGCGCCCAAACGGCTATGAAAAGCTAGCGGGAAAACATTTATACATTAATGAAGGGAACGAATAAAAAAATCTACCGTATTGATCTTGGGTGTGTTAATGATTTACAAGGCCCTGGTGTTTATTTTTTAACTCTGGTACTTCAAGGAAGCCCAGCTCAAATATTTATCATACATTGCTATGAGGGGGGAAAACGCCAGGATTGGCACCTAATACATTTATGAGAATGCGTACTTTACACAACGATCTTGCTTTGTCTCTGCTAGAAATGCTCCTGAATCATTGAAACTTTTATTGTCAAGAATAATGGCTAGTACTTCCAGACACTGGCCATTCACGTGAATTATTTGAGACTCGCTTAAGCGAACAAATCATAAATCATGGATGACGGGGTATAAAGCGACTATTCATCAAAAGCTGTGTAGCTTCCTTGGGTATTACTAAGCTGCATGTACAAGAAAAGGTAGTGTCCATCTCTGCAGAGTTACACATGTACACGTAACAGTCAGCGTTCTGTCAATGGTATGCATTTTTTATCAAGGCAAAATTTGAACAATCCTCTTAAGTGCACAGTGACAGGATAATAAGTGAGTTCCAGGGCTTATCTGCAATATTAATGATTTCTGCAGTTGATTTTTGAAAGGGGAGAACAGGAGTGTGCGTATCTTGTCAGCGAAGTTGTAAGTTAAGGATCATTGACTGTGTGTGTACAGCGAAGCACTTGAATTAGTGCACTCAAAAGATAACCTTCAGACTAATATCCAGTATGGTAAATGGGCCGTAGCTGATTTGTGAAAGTCAACTAATAGGCTACCGTCTTGCAGTCATTGACAACTGGACAAACAAACGGAACACATTCCCAAAAGACAAGTCCTTTACAACCAAACCTTAATTCTCTAATATCTAAGATTTGTATTTATCAATGCCCCAACGGGCATTCAAAAACCCAGGCTTTCCTTGTGATTTTCCGAGGGAGGGGGGGGGGGGGGAACACGCTATTACCTATCTTTTTTTTACAATGTTCACAAATAAAAGTCATAATTTGATTTTGATATAATACTCGGGCCCCTTTTCTTCTGTGTGTCAAATTTAAAAGCATTTATTTTCTAATCAACTTAATAGTGCCTCTTCATATTGCATGCACCATAAAACAGCTCCCTTTGACGAGAAGATGCCGATAATTGGCCATAAACTCCCTCCATAATGTCATAAATAGTTTGACCACTTAAGGAGATGGAGATTGGGGGAGGGGGTTAGGACACACAGCAGGGTTAATCACAACAGCGAGACCCTGACTGGAAAGCTGGTGAGCGTGCCCAGCACACCTGACCTTGAGATAATTGTCAGGATGCTGAAGTAATGAATTCTCTCTCATGAAAATGAGATTAGGATGAATATTTCAGCGAGGTGGTGACGCTGTGCGCCACTGGGGCGTGCGTGTTCTCTTAATGGATAATAATTAGTGGCACTTTCTTTTACTTGATTGGTATAGGAAACCTTTTGTTATAGTGTCAAGTAGAATGTCAACAATAGAGATACATGTACTCTCAAAAACACAAGCATATTTTCTCCAAGCAATCAAAAATCAAGAAAAGTAGTAAAAATCTAGGAGGGGGGAGGGGTTTGAAACCACCCTCTACAGTCACTTTTCATGATAAATGTACTTTCAGCACCTTTTACAACAATGTTAGAAGGTAGCGATGTGGATTGTCCTCTAATGGCCATTATGGCCACCAATACAAAGCTGGAGCCCCAAATAATTCTGATTTACCCATTTTCAAATAATTTACTATTCGATTATTTGAAACTGCACCTGACCGAATATTAGAATATTCGTAACTCTCCTATCAAGTTTACACACGCCAGCTGAAGCTGCCTTCCTCATTGGCAATGATTGGTCATAAGTTGCATACAAAGCACGCCGGTTAAAATTTGCATGCGAAATAGATATTATGGGCCGCTGGAGTATTATGTAACTGTCAAGGGACTTTACCCATTTAAAAGAATGGCACCAATAAATAGGCGTCGACAAAAAAGTTACCGTCAACAAAAATTGGCATCTGACAATAAAAAAAACGCAACTTTACGAGTAAAATAACACTCACAATTTTTGAATATTTAAACCGGCAAAAAGCCATTTGAATGTTCTGTTGGTGATCGCTACAAGTATCTTGTAGAATTATCAGATGAACTTTATTTAGATTCCGATCAAATTACAAATACCCACCAATGATCTGTTTGCATGGGTTGTCGGGCGTGATGGGTACACGGCATGTTGGGCACTGCTGGTTATGCTGTAACCACACTTCAATGCAGGCATTGCAGAACACGTGGTGATTGGGACACACGATCGGCTGCTTCACCTAATCAGTAGGGGATTTTAAGACAAAAAAGACAGGATTAGTTTCTACCATATAATATTATAACCATGGGGCTTCTACGAAAAAGAATGTATCTATAGTTCACTTGAAAAATCAATCACAAGAGTTCTGCCATTTTTGAAATGCTTATTTTTTTAAGGGGGGCATATCAAATGATCACAACTGTTTGTATGTATAAAAGAATTGGGATAATAATTTCTTGTTGGAGTGTAGACCCCTGAACACTATATACATAGCCACGGTTTGTTTATATTCTCTGGACTTTCGACGTCTTCGAAATCCCGGTTGGAGACCTACCACTTACAAGCACTGTATGTTCAGTACTTATTTCATGTGCTTATAAAAATAAGAGTTTATCCAAGAACTTCCAGTGGCATAGGATCTGTCATTCCAAAGAAATTTGAGGGAAAAATGGAGCCCATTCGAACGTCTACTGTAGAAATTTTTCGAAAGTCCAGAGATACATGAGCGGAGCGTGGCTATGTATAGCCACGTTCCTTGGGTCTAGTTGGAGTGTTGTTTTGAAGCGGGATATCAACCATCAATGTTTTAAAATGTTTATTTTGAGAGAATTTGAAACAAATCAATTTTTTTTTTTAATTAATCTTTCATTAGCACAACTACTGAATTAGTACTATGTACTAAGGGTGTATTATGTTAGGCCCGATTGGTCGATCCTGTTGTTCGATGGGTCGATTCTTTCGGATATCTCTGACTTTGCTTCCCTTTTTAAAAAAATCCTCCACAGCCGTGAATTAGAAAGAAAAAAAGTGTTCAACTGGTGGGCGATCGACCGATAGTGTCATGATTGATATTAATTAGGGCAACGCGATCGACCAATCGCGCACATCGCCTGCTCACGCACGCCAAACATATTGCAATATCTATTCTATTGCAACTAGCAGTAGCAACCCCACAAATACGAGATAGTGGACATTTTTTAAATAACGCAAAGATAATGTATACAATCATGAAAAAGGCAAGTGATTTCTCATCAGGAGTGATGAAAGAGTAAACAATGAACACAAAGAACATAAACTTTAAAGAACACTTTGTATGGTATTTATTTTGTTTTCCTACTGATCTTTCGGCCGACAGAATTGAAAAACGCGCGTTACGTGAGGCAGTGTATGTCCAGTACAATCGTGGGAATTCAGCATTCAAGCTCACTGTAAACAAACTACAACCGGTACATTTTGACACAATAATAGCTGAAATACTAAGGCAAAATCATACGCATCCGCGATAAAAGTAGAATGAAAATGTTCTTTGCTTTATAAAATATCTATATTGTAATTTCGATTACCTTTCCAAGGCATATTTGACATGAAATTGGCAAAGTAAACGATATCGACATTCGCTTTCCAGACGAATTTTCCGCCATCTTGACTGACCGTTTAACTGTTAATGTAGTAACGATTAATCCGCCATTGATGACAACTTCCTCCTTGTTTTATCTTTCAAAGATAGTGGAGATATTCTTCACACAATTTCAATAGTTCGTCTGAGAGTTTTTATTCTTTTTATTTCATTTTCACCTAACGACCGTAACTTTACAGTGTAAGATGGTGTGGATTTATTTTACATGTGTGTCTTAATACAGTTGCACGAGAGTGATGCGGCCCCAGTGACACATGCACACGGCTCGTCGGCTTCTGTTTTCTGAATGAATTTGGGTTGGTTGCGCAAATATTTCACCAGAATGACAGCTTTTGACAAGTTAAAAGACAATTGGTTTCTTTTAGCGATAGCCATTGTTATATCCTTGGCGGATTTGGCACCTTTTATTGGAGCCAAAGGAGGTGAGTTTGTAAATTTTTTAGATTGAATACGGAAGCGACGAATTTTGGTCTTGTACCCTGTATCACATATGTCATAATGTGTAGGTACACGTGGCATTGAAATTATATAGTCAGTAACATAGTGGTACAGTTTTGTTGACAAACATGATTGATTGATTTTGATTAACATTTGTCTGTGTAGCACACATTGCAAATGCAATGAATTAAATAATTCACATTCATTGTTTAATTGTCAAAATGATTTTAGGCCCCCTATCATGAATTGTATCCAATATCACAACCGTTTGGCGGTGCATTTATGCCCCATTCAGTTGAGGCCAACCCCCCCCCCCCTCCTCTGACTAGAGAAATCCTCCTACCCCTCCACATTCCCCCCGCCATTCCACACACTCCACCCCCCCCCCAAAAAAAATCCATAAAATCCCCTTCGCCAAAAAAAACCCATGATTTTTGCCCCATGTTCAACACTTATTTTATAGATAGTGGATATTTTGCCGGAGGGAAATAAAGTCCGAAATTATAAAATGGTCTGAATCCCATCTTGTGAATACGAGTTAACAACGATAATTTTGGCATGGAGCCAGACTAAAACTTGTCACCGGAAAATGTTTAAGTACAAAAAAACAGTAACTGCGCATGTTCAGTGCATATCCGGCAAACTAACGTTTACTAAAGGTTTGCCGTCTCCGGCAAAATATACACTGCCTATTTTATAACCTAATTTTGAAACCCCTAGTCCTACACTCGACTCATGTGTGTATTTTAGATTTTTTTTACCAGGGCCAGGTCTTGCTCTTAAAATTAAAGTGAAATAAATAATGAATAAAATGATATTCAAATGAAAATTACAAGTGTGAATGGATGACATGCTTTAATATTAAAAAGATCCTTATTTTGTTTTCCCTTTCTTCAGGACCTTTAAGGCCAGAGATCACCGTCAAGTATTGTGCAGTTTCCTTCATATTCTTCAACAGTGGGCTCTCACTGAAAACAGAAGTAAGGAAATGAAAGGTTTTCATTTTATTGAAATCTCTGTCTGAGACTTAAAGGGAATATACAACATTTGCAAACATCGAAAAATAAAACTAACAGGTTTTTACGAAATACTTTTCTAGGATGTTGGTAAATGACAGTATAAAGCATCCTGTAAAATTATGGCACCTGGTGTGAAGTCATTTTCAAGAAAATAGTATTTTTTTATACATTTCCAACGGTGGTCGGCCGACCACCGTTGGAAAAACCTAACTATTTTTCAACTACTGATCCAAATTTACCATTTTTTCAGTCCAAATTTTGTTCGCAATTGGTTACATGTTCGTGAATGGGTGCAGGCAGGCTAGACTGGTTCCCTTACCCTACAATTTTCCGGCATCTATAAATATTGATCTATTTCATCATAAGTGGAGTCAGGAAACCAGACAGCTTTAACTCTTTTTTTTCTTGGTTTTTCCAGCATTTTCGAACACAAAACTTCAAACATGTTAGTGTAACAATATTTGATCTATTATACTAACCCCTCAAATAGTTCATTTCTGAAAAATACAGCAAAAGCCAATGATGTGCATTCCCTTTAAAAGTGTTTGAAGCCATGTGTTTACACGGGGTAGTACCGGGTAGTATGGGAATCGGGTACCTGTTAAAGAAACCCAAGCCCAAAATTTAAATCTCGGAAGTTGCATTATAAATGTTGTAAGTTATAGTTATAGTTATGTAAAGTTAAGTACGTGTTCTCGATTCCATAATCTGGAACCGGTTTCTGACACCATTGGTTGGGTACTCGGGTACCTGGTTCCGATGCACAGCCTTAAAGGGAATGTACAACATTTGCTTTTGCTGCAATTTTCAGAAATAAATGGATTTGGAGGATTAGCATGTGTTAGCAAATATTGTTAAACTGACTTGTTTCACGTTTTGGACTTGTAGATGCTGGAAAAACCAAGAAAACCATTCATGTTCTTGTAGTCTGGTTCCCAGACCCCACTTAAGATGAATTGGAGCAATTTATAGACTTTGGGGAATTGTAAGATCAGAGAGTCAGTTTAGTAGGCTTGTACCCCTTCACAGTTGTGTAATCAATTGCAAAGAAAACACGGAATAACTAATTATGAAAAATTAGGAGCAGTTTTGAAAAAAAGCCAGTTTTCTCCATAGCTGGTCGGCTGACCAGCGTTGGAAAAATACCATTTTTCTTAAAAATGTCAGCACACCAGGAGCCAAGATTTACAGGATGCTTTAGACTGTCATTCCCTAACAATCCAGCAAGGTATTTAGTGATAATTTGATCATTTCGTTTTGTAATGTTTGCAAATGTTGTATCTTCCCTTTAAGCCATAATTAAGTCTTATTTTACAATCCAGGGCTTTCAAGTACCGTCTTGGTAATACATGAATACTTGAATTATATAAGAATCCAAATTGATGACAAACCTGGGGTCCAGATCTTGAATTCAAAGAACTTATACACGTATCATCTAATTTTATTCTTATTGCAGGATCTTCGCACAGCTCTGTTCAATGTCAGGTTGCACGTTTTCATTCAGGGGTTCACCCTCATCTGTGTACCGTGCCTTGTGTGGGTCCTGGTCCACTTCCTGCTCATGACACCAGTGGATGAGTGGCTTCTTAAAGGGTAAGAAAAACCATCCTTCCCCCACCCCCTCCCCAAAAAAGAAATATATCTGTGTTGTGCTTGATATCAAACGATTCACTTTATGTTTGGCACTGCTAACTCTTTGTGTACAGAGAGCTAATCAGTCCTGATGAAGGGTAGATACAGTCAACTAGTTCATTGTTCTTATTCCATGAAAGTATGTGTAGTGCAATGAACTCCACAGTCCAAGAATAAAGGAGTGTAACTGTAGCTCTGCCTGCTGACCACAAACAGGAAACTGGCCTGAAGGTTACTTTCCTCTGTTTTAAACTATTTTTTCATTCCCTTTTTATTACCAATTTCTGGTGCCAAAGGCTTTGGTGGATTCCGGAAGTTTATCGGCAAAGATGTCAAAGGAGTTTGTCCGTCTGTTAATAAGTCTGTTATTATTTTTCTTTAGGTTGCAAGTAGTTGGTTGCATGCCACCACCTGTGTCATCTGCTGTGATCCTGACCAAAGCAGCTGGAGGAAATGAGGTCAGTTTTGCAGACAAAATGTCATCAGTATTATGTTTTTTTCAATGAGGGATTACTCCTTTGTGCTTGCCTGCTTAGCATGAGCGCAGTAAACTAGTAGTTCTCTTGAATATCTTCTTAATTGACTTGAGACAGGAATACTCCGACGCAGCTCTGATAGAAGTGGGTACGGTAGGCCGTATATCTCACTGTTAACGCTGAGGAAGTAAATTGATGTCAATAGTTTTAAGGAGTGAACCCACATCTTATTATTTAAAACTGCCTAGTAACCTTTTAGTCTCATTTCTAAAATTTCTAAGCACAAACAGTTGGGAGAAAAAAATGGAAACACCCAAAGCTTGTAGAATAGTGTTTACTATCCGTCTGTCCAAGATTCAGATAGATTTTGGAACCATGTCTTCTGTATCTGTATCTGTATGGCTACGTTGCAGAAACCTATTCAGGCATTATCACAACGGAGTACTGAGGTACTCAAGGCACTGGGAGTTATGTCTATTATTAGATGAATGAAGTTCTTGAGAGATATGAGACCCATTATGTGGCACCAGGGTTTACAAGGTGCTGCGGCCACTGCCAGAAACACCGGGGCGAACCCCTTCTCTTAGCGATAAGTGTTACTGGGTTCTTTAACGTGCATTACACAACACACGGGACCTACGACTTTGCGTCCCATCCGAAGGACGAAGCAATAGTGGTAAAGTGCCTTGCTCAAGAGCACAAGCACCATGTTCCCACGGTCAGGATTCGAACCCGTGTACCACAGCACACGAGTCGAACACCGTAACCATTGGACCACAGCAATTTTTCCCACGGCGGGTGTGAAACACGCCGTGGGCTTGAGCTGGTTATGTTGGTGGGTGGGTGGTGGGTGGGTTGGTTGATGCACAGTTTACTCGGCCATATATTGTATTCATGCAACTAGATCATTACAGCTTTGCTTCCAAAGGCCGTATTTGATAACACTGATGCGCATGCGTCTAATTTGCATATTTGTGCATATTAGATAACGCTCCATTCGTTTTCGTTTTCTGTACTCTCGAGGTACCGATACGGCCTGGGTGGGCGCACAGACGGTGCCATAAGCCGTCTTCACATGTTACCCGGCCACCATGGGTTGTACCACTTGGTACTTGTTTATGATTTTCTATCATTTGACAATGAGAATTCAGTGGACAACCTGAATTTCAGTAATGAGAAATGCACAGCTTCTGTATGTTCATAATATACACTGTGTGGCTTAGCACTTGATGTATACCTCTCACACTCTCAGTCGGTAGGATTACGTAGTACACTCACCCCCAGAATATTGCAACAATGGCTTTTCCTTGTGTGCATTAACGTCCCCTCCTCTATAATCCTGAGTATCATTGACTTGGCTGTAATGACTTTCGCGGGATAAAAGGAGCGCAGGATCTTTCCTCATATTAAGGCAGAGTGGACCATTTGTAATTTGTGCATTTTTTTGTTTGAAGCAGCAAAAGCGCTCAAAATCTTAAGAAGGGTGCTTAACAACGAATCTGGTGAAGTTTTAGCTCTGTGAATGCTGTATACCCCGAGAAAACAATATTCTAGGATCTTGATTTCAATTCAAAAGTTGCCAAGTCGTATTCTGAAATGCCCCGAAATCAGCATTCGGGACATGTTCTCATTCAGCCAATTGTAGAGATGTCACACACTGAACTGTCGAATTATAGCAACTGCGTGTGCCTCATGTCAACACTTGCGCGCACCCATTCATGGATTCACCCGCTACAAACCAACCAAACCAAATTTCCAAAAATGTGTCACTTGACACATCTTTGGAAATGACCTTTTATTGTTTTGCTCAAAATGACAGCATGCTAGAAGGAATAATTTCACTGGGAGTTTAGTGTCATTACTATCTTTAAACCAAGTAAGCGTTTTAACAGTATTTTGGTCGGTCACTTTTTTGATAGAGCTGCAAATGATCCAATTTTCCTTTAATGGTTCCTCACCCAGCACTCTCACCTGAAGACCAAATTTAATATTTACTTCCTTAAGTTGTCAAAATATATCCATGTTGGGTTATAGCTGTCTCCATTAGTAAAAGTATGCCCCAATCCCCCTTCTGAACTGAAACCCATTGATGGTCATATTTGTGAAATATTAGTTCTTCTGTTGTCTTGACACTGGGATTTTGCACAATTGTGGTGCTTTATCTCTAGTGCAACTACATGTAGGCTAAACAATTTTTATTCGTTATATTTTGTTTTGTTTTCTGTAGCAATGTATCGAGTTTAAATTGTATATCGTAGAGAACAGCACCATGAGGTTTGATTAAATAAAATTGAACGTTATTGGTTGTACGTATATTGATAGTTTACACAGATGTGGATTACATTACAAAATATTTTTTAAATGCGTAGGAGTTTGCAATGCAAACATTTTTTTAACGACATTGCTCACTTGATAAATTGTATTTTAGGACATCAAATATCAAAATTGTACTTGGCAATTTAAATGTGGTTAATGAAAATGAGGAAAATTTCTTTGAAATTTCAAATAGAATTTGTTGTTGCTTTAAATTTGAAAATCATCTGTTTGCATGGTTTGTAACAAGGTAGGCCCAAACATTCATTTGAATGTTACAATACATTTGTCAAACAAGTCCTTTCGATAAAGAATTATAATTACATGTAAAATTGCAGATGAACACAACTTTTGTGTGTGTGTGTGAATTTTTGACTTGAAAATAATTCCTAGAATCGGTTTGTGAATTTTTGACTTTAAAATAATTCCTAGAATCGGTCTGCGGTTTTGTCAATCCCTTCCCAACACTTGCATGATTGCCACAAAACCCTAATGAGTTAACTTCCCTGCAAACCGTCAAATTGAGAACACAGACCATTGAAACAAAAAAAGAAACAGCCATATGTACATAGACAAACGCCAGCTGATATTCACATTATCAGTGCTCACTCCATGGGGACACAGCCATCAGCAAGATGAATCACATTGAAATCTTAGCCTGGTGCCATTACTCTCATTTAATGCCCATCTACGCAAGGGTGTTTACTGTCCTGGTCAATTTACTGCACCCATTACAGTCCACCAGTCAACCATGGACGGTTCAGGTTTTTCTTTTCCTGTTTTTTTATTTTTAAAGTTCCACTGCAGTGATTTGTTGATTATGCTGTGTTCCACATGGCGGACTTGTTGATCGGATTGGAATGAGCCTTTAATGCCTTAAATATGCAATCTGATCGTTTTCCAATTTTCCCAAGATGTGGTTCCCTGAATTTCACTCGCCGGTAATTATTCCTGGCAAATTTTTTTGCACAAGTGCATTCTGTCCTATTTGCCATTTGTGAAATGCTGGCTAGTTCATAGTCAGTTCAAATCGGTTGCTTGCTTGGGTTATTGTTTTTGTATTCACATCATTACATACGAATTTGCTGTTTGTGCAATTAATCCTTTGTTAATTAAAAGTTAGATTTATTTAGAATGGTTTAATCTCCCTCATCCAAATTTCCCCAAAAAATCCAGCCAGCTACTGCTGTGCATTTGAGGCAGTGTGTATATTTGTAGATTTATTTTTGCAAATTGGTAAAGAATTATGAAAGTTACGTATGTGTATTCGTTTTATCATTTGATTAGGACAAAGGTTGAAAGATTTAGTTGTTACTAAATTTTGGATTTCATCTATATCATGTCTATACGGAAAAACACAAAGTAGGCTAGATCTCAAGTTTTAATGTACATTGTGTAAAGTCTGACAAGTCAAATTTGTGAACAAGATCTTGTTGCTTTCATTGGCAGGCAGGAGCAATATTTAACTCAGCATTTGGAAGTTTCTTGGTAAGTCACACATTAACTTAATGAACAACTAAACTCACTTCAGGAAACTCTTTGTCAAGTTTGCAGCATTTTCAATACCTAACGGAGTAAAGAACAAGGCAGGGTGTTGCAGATTTTGACATGAGCATGTACGTGTAATATCCCCCTTATGGATCATTTGACATATAAAGACCTAGCCCTGATCCCAGCTTGTCACAAAATCTCTACCAGAACAAGCTCCAAATAATGTGCCATCAAAAGCCTATCATGTTCCCTCCAACTTTCTTCATTGTCCTCCACCAGAGACCCCTCATCCATATTTGATCCGAATTCATTCAAGTTTAATGCACGTCTTCCATTGAGCAAGGCCAAACCCTACCGATTACACTCGTGCTTTTATCTCCTAGTGTGCATTACCCCCTAATCACTAGTCATTCACTGCCTTAATCCTCATGTCTGATAAATGAATAGCTTTTTCTTTTGCTGGTTTTCTTTTCAGGGTATTGTTGTCACTCCCGTGTTACTGCTTGTGTTTGTGAGTATTAACTGTTTCTGCTTCATTTAACCCTCCTGGGCGGGAAACTCGAAAAAAGAGGCAGGGTCCTTGATCAGTGAGGTGGGGAAGGATAAAACGAAGAAGTACCGTACAATGTGGACTTTCATCCTTGGGCATACCTTTATGCAGTGTTCAAAGACCATGAGGAGTATTAGAATCTTTAGATAAATTGGAACAGTTCAGCAAAATTTAGCAGAATACATTTTGAACACAGACTCAAAAGTTAAGAAATATACTGCAAGACTTGGCAAATAACCAGTAGTCAGTAATCTAGGAAATTCATTGTAACAATCAAGAATCATATGGAAAAGAAGGTTATTTTTCTTCTCAGTATTTTGGATGTAAAGGAAAAAGCAAAATGAACTGTTGTATAAAGGAAATGTTTGATGCGTGTGCTCAAATCTTGATTTGGATTTTGTGATAACAACTCATTGTGCATTCCTTTTTCTAAACGTATATTCAACAGTTGCTTAAAGAGGTTGTGGAATGCTCGAAGTCATTTCCGTCATTTTTCGGGTATATGTAGCCTAAGGTGTGATGAAATAAAAACGACTATTGTTTCTGTCATGAAATGAGTACAAAGGGTACTTTTGAGAGCTGTTTTTCAAGTCCTGTCATGCCTGATGCAGAGTAGCATAAACGAGTCCTGTTTATTACGTCACGATTTAGTGTGTTTTGTTTGCTGCCCGCAACGACGACTTTTACACAAATTGCACGTTCGGGTCGAAACAGGACCTGAAAAATAGCTCTCAAAAGTACCCTTTGTACTCATTTCATGACAGAAACAATAGTCGTTTTTATTTCATCACACCTTAGGCTACATATACCCAAAAAATGACGGAAATGTCTTCGAGCATTCCACAACCTCTTTAATTATATTCATTCTAGCTTCATGATTCTTCAGTTTTCCAAATTGCCCTGATCAGATCAAACCTCCAGACAAGTGATATAAATCATGCAAGATTTCTATTGATCTGCCTGGCCTATCACACTCTCCACCCCACTCAAACCCTGGTCTTTTCAAAAGGGTAATCCGACAGGATATGTACACACTTGTTTTCATCACTAGCGCCCTAAAATCCACTTGTTTACCCCCTTTGTGAGGAGGACCTGCTCTTGTTTGGAAAACAGTTGCATTCACGAGGACAGTGGTGGAGGAACGTTTGAATAGCATTAGTGGCACTTGACTTGCTTCTGTGAATGATTAGTGGCGGGATCAAGACGCCTAACTAATATTTAATGAGTGCTCAGGGTGGGTCCAACAAGGACGTTTGGAGAGTTTTGAATACCTGAAAGATTCCCGCCAGGTGAACAGGGAACAAAGTGTCATCGCCTTGGTGGCGATATCGATGTGGTCTTCTAATCCCCTGTTTAATGATTAAATCATCAAACGGAATCATTCCGGGTTGTGTGTCTACACGTGTAATCCCACTTTAAGGGAAAAAGGCCAGTCTTGTTAAACATTTGTCAGAACATTTATTGTCAACACCAATTTTATCCAGGCCGGTACTTGTATTGATGTATATCGAAGCAGGGCCTTTGTGGAGGGCTTGGGATTTAATCGACGAGATTGATACACGTACACCTGTGCATAGACACCTGTAAGATAGAATCGTTCATATCAAACATGATACCTGACGGTACAAAATGGACTAGTCCAAAAGTGACTTCAACCAATCAGTTCAAAGGAATTCCACCTGCAGTCCCTGTGATTGGTTGGAAGTTTTGGGAATTGTGCATCACCATCTCGGATTGGGTGAAAAGACTGGATGAAAAGAATTCTTTATCACAGGTGGCATGCATTTTTGATGCCTCTGGTAGTGTTAGAGTAGAGGGATTATGAGTGTATTTTTGGCAGTTTTTCAAGACAGCAGCGGCGCACCTTGAATAAATCATAGCCTGGAGTGGTCGTTATAAATAATAAAAACGGGGAAGAAGCAAAGGTTGTCTTGACAGTTATATGGAAATGAATTGGAAGGGTGCAGGGAGAATACAATCGGGATTAGGTCTCAATAAGTAATAAGGCAACGTCTTAATAAATTATAATGTGATGGTGAGAAATGTAGGGTGGGAAAAAGGGCAGTTAGAAAGTTGGAGCCGAATCTTTTGAAGACGTAGTTTGTTTCCTTACTAATGATGTGTAAACAAACAAAATTCCGTTGAAAACGCATAGCTTTTAGCAATAATTACAAGGTGTCAGTGGGATTCTCTTTGCGTAAAGTTGAGCACAACTTTGTATATAGTGTATAATTTATACAGTTGTTGCTTACAAATATATTTTGGGGTTTTGCTTAGATTTAATTTTGCTTACGGCTGGATTTGAGATTCCAGATTTCTGAAGACTTTCCATCTTTGTTTGCTTTAAGATGACAGATGGGAATCATCTCGGAATATAATCACAAGTCTGTGCATGACCTGCCTGTTGATGTACGTTTGACCTTCCAGTGTCTCGGTTTTTAATTATGGGTTTATCGTCGGTGTACGCGACAGTGACACCATTGTCAAATTCATCACCCATACACAGATACCTGGAACAACAAAAAAAACAATCTATAAAATTTGCACGTGTGGTCAGAGGGACGTTTAGCAAGAGGCGTTTGCCGTGATTGCATTTGACGATGAGGCCCTTGTGCTGAATCTTGCATGGAGAGAATCAAAAATTCATGGGTCCACGTGCTGCAGACGGCAAAGTTTGGATGCAGCGGACGTCGTTTCGCTGCTAAGTGACTAACACATACGGAGGTGCATTTAGTTGGTTACACTAGGACTAGGGTAGGCTGTTTTGTGTGAGGAATGAGCATTCCAGATCTTGTGGTAATTGATTTTTTTTTCTGACTGACTTTGTTAACAGCTTGAACATGCATGTTTTTAATATAAGCGTACCCAAACCCGAATGCAGTTTTGCAAGGAATTGTCTTGAATCCTCCACTCTGTTGGAAACCCTAGCAAATTTTTCATAGTTGAAACTTAACTGTTAGGTAATAGGGGCTGTGCTGTCCCTTCCTCAATCCTACAAAATCATCCAAAACCTGTTAGATTTTAAAGGATTATGGAGGGATTGAGTTAAATGATTTTTAGTATAAATTGGATGAGATACACAAGTAGGACAGTCTGTAAACAAAACCTATCAGTTGCTGCCACTTTTGATTCATCTATTAAATTGATCAAAATATAATTGGATAGGACTAAAAGTAAAAAACGGAAAACAAAAAAAAGGAAAGAAGTAACATTCCATTAATTTAAAAATGTATACTGAAAGCCATCGTGAAAAGTTTGAAAAAATATATATATGATGAAGAATCAAGTGTCTATTCACATAGCCTGAAATAAGTTATAGATTTTTGTGTTCCGATTCCAACAGGACAAATTTCCCGCCATCGGAACCACCCCATGCCAACAACCAACCAATATTTGGTTTGGGCAGACAGAGAAATACAAAAGGCATTAGAGACAGATTAGGGACATCACTGTAAACACTGTGCGTATGTGCACCGCTGCCGGGAAAACAAATCCAGGCATTGTTGGGGCTAGCCAAAGTTGTTTTGTCGTCTAGACAATGAGAGTAGCTGCAGGCGAGGCAGTAGGGCTGTAGCCCCGGGCTATGTTGACAGTAATACGCACTGGGCAAACAACGGTCTTGTCAGAAAATGATCTATAAAATGACAACAAGTCAATAAGTTTGTTTCTGCGGAGAGAGAATTGCATCCGGTCGGCGGTATTACCGATGTTGCGTAAAGGGCAAAAAGAAGACAAACATTTCTGTGTGAATTCTAGTTGTGATAAAACCTTTTTTTTTTTTTGAAGTTAACTGTTATGCATGTAAACAATTTAAAGGGAATGTACATCATTGGCTTTTGCTGTAATTTTCAGAAATGAACTATTTGGGGGGTTAGTATAATAGATCAAATATTGTTGCACTGACATGTTTGACGTTTTGTGTTCGAAAATGCTGGAAAAACCAAGACAAACAAAAATATTCAAGTAGTCTGGTTCCCTGACTCCACTAAAAATGAGGTGGATCAAAAATACCGGAAAATTGTAAAGTAAGGGAACCAGTCTAGCTGGCCTGCACCCGTTCATGAACATGGAACCAATAGCTAGCAAACAAAATTTAGACTAAAAAAAATGGTAAAATTTGGAGCAGTAATTGAAAAATAGTTAGGTTTTTCCAATGGTGGTCGGCCGACCAGCGTTGGAAATGTGTACAAATATACCATTTTCTTGAAAATGGCTTCACGCCAGGTGCCATAATTTTACAGGATACTTAAGCATGTCATTTACCAACATCCTAGTAAGGTATTTCGTAACAACTTGGTAGTTTTATTTTTCGATGTTTGCAAATGTTTTATTTTCCCTTTAACAAATCAACCCTATTGTACATGTACCAGTGAAAATATACATCAAGAAATCAATTTCACCAAAACACAATATCCTTGGAATGAAAATAATGAGAGTAAAAATGAAACAAAATTGAACAATCCAGGGTATCCTTTGTTACAAGTTATCCAAACAAAACAAAGCGTGCCAACATTCTGGTGTTCTCCATTCTGTTTGCTACCATAATTGTGAGAGAGTTTGCATAAACATTACGTTTCTATCATTTGTTTTATCTCATCGTCTCTTTTTCTGATGATTTTTCTCCCTATGGATCAAACCCGAAACAAATCGCATAAGAAAGATTGCTGTCAAATTTATCCCTCATAAATCTTCACACAGCAATTTATAATGGATGTAATTATACTCTTATGTCCTATGAGGGAATAAGTTTACCCATAAAACTAAATGGGTCATCATCAAATGACTACGATCAAAATGAGTTTAACCCTTCCATGCAATGAAAGAATTTATAATGAACAGTGTCTCTGTTTTCTGTGGGCTCAGCTGCATTTATATTTCATGACCATTGTGTTGGCGCAGTCACCAAATGTCTGCCTGGGTGGAGAATTGTGGAGGGCCCGAAGACTGCCCTCTATTGTTGCAATTTATATTTTAATATTTTTAGTGGGAGTTTGGTGTGAGCAGTGAGCAAATGATGTCCCGTTTCAACATTTGGAGTTTGTTGGATACAGCAGGTTTCTAACCATTTTAGATTCCGTGAGAACCAAATGAAATACTTAAAGCATGGTAAAGGTCATTGCCTGGTTTCAGTACTCACGTCTCACTTTCGTCATCCGAGAAAAGTAAACATCTCTTGCCGTGTATTAAGTTAAAAAGCACAAGGAAGTTGGGAAGAAAATACACAGTTTACAAGTGGTTTCACTCTCAATTTACACCTCTTGTAACTTACAGTACACTTATGTGCATTATACATAGTATGTACATGTAACAAATCCTCAAGACAGATATTTCCTCTTTTTCTACTACTTGTATAAAGTTAACTAATTTGTCTGCAACAGTTTGCGTCTAGTGTCTAATGATCGGCTACAGTTATGTGTACAAATTATCGCACTTCAAAGATTACTCAATATTTCACCTTTTTTGAAAAACCAGTTTCCCACTCGTTCTTGTTGGTAAAAGGTTTGTCTTTTTACATATGTGCATCCTCAGCTTGACATACATAAAATATTCCAAAAATGCTCATTGATACAACAAGTGCCAAGCTTATATCTCTAAATTTAATACAATTCTAAACTCTCCACTTTTTCAACCAATCAAAGTTTTGTCAGGCAAGTTAAAGCTATAGTCCATCATTTGCAGCCATCCGAAAAAGTAACTGGCTTATTATTGTTGAAAAACATACTTGGTTGAAATATTGTAAGTGGACTAAACTCTCTGTGAAATTAATCTTTGTGGCAAGCTATCATTTTGAAGTAATCAACGAAAGAAGGCCTTTCCAACGGTGCGTCTTAAGACGCACCGTATGAAAATTTAAATTAGTAGTTCGTTTTGTTATTCGGCACAGCGCGCGCAAGCATTGGCACGACGCACAGGCGCGCGCGGTTGCTATAATTCGTCGGATCAGTGCGCGACATCGCGTATATAGCTGCAATTCAAACAATTCAAAAAATGATTCAGCAACTTTTGATTTGAAATTGAGATCCTAGAATGCTGTTTTTCTCGGAATATACAGCTGAAGCTGAGCTAAAACTTCATCAGGTTAGTTGTTCAGTATCCTTCATTAGATTTTGAACACTTTTGTTGCTTCAAACGAACAAAATGCACAAATTACAGATGATGGACTATATCTTTAATGACAATGGTACATATTCAAAGATTTGCCTTCTAATTTACAGCTTATCTATGATAATTATAGTGTATACATAAATGATTGTAATAGAAACAAATGTTTAATGTATGACATCTAATTGCTTTAATTAACGCGACTTTGCAACTGCACTTTTGCAACAACTGGGATTGTTAGAATTCTAGTTGGGATTGTCTAAACAGTATGGGATAGTGCTGTAAAATGCCATGGTCCAGTGGTTGTAGTGTTTGACTCATGTACGATGGTGTTTGTGCCCTTGGGCAAGACACTTAACTACAATTGCCTCTGTCCACCCAGGAGTATAAATGGGTACCTGTGAGGGTAGAGGACCAAATGTGCGCCAATATCGGCTGTCGTGTGGTCTCGTGACCTGATGAACGGGGGAATAATTGTAAAGCGCTTTGAGATTGTTGATACGATGGAAAGCACTATAAGCATTATAATTATTATTATCCATGTACATGTATTTGGGGCGCAACAATAACACCTTGCATTTGTCTTGTCTTTTTACTTTTTCCAGATGGGATCGTCAAGTTCAGTGCCTTTCTCTTCCATCTTCACCCAGCTGTCCATGACGGTAGTTGTGCCTCTCCTTGTGGGCCAGGTGAGTTAATATGAAGGCTGCATGCATCTCAATGACTTGGCTGTGGTTCACAATTACACATACGCCTATGGGAGCGGCTGCAGCCATATCCAGCAGACGTGTATGTTATTGCCATCCATTGGCTAAGTTTTTCGGAGGCGGCCGAAACTGTATTGTGTCCTTGGTGAATTTACATGCTTCTGGAGAGCAAAGCTTTAAGCAATCGGGATGGTTCAGGGATATCAGCCCATCGATGATGCAGGATGCATAGCATGACCTCCTTGAACATGGGATGCTTGGCTCCATACAGCAACGGGTTGACGGCGCTGTTGGCAAACAAGAAGATGACACCGTACAGGAAGAGATTGTCCAACCCTAGCACGATGAAGACGCAGTTGGGTAACGGGAGAAGGAAGCAGACACAGGACACAATGAACAGGTTCTTGGTGATCTGAATCTGATGCTTGTGGATACGCTTCCTGCGGAACTTGTCGGTGGTGGTGCTGACCATGGGCTTGGCTGGGTTGGGCTCCAGGGAGCTGGTGGTCGACATGCGAAAACTGGAGCAGGCTCGTCGTTCCTTCTTGAAGTGCTGCCGGATGAAGACATAGATGATGCCGTAACAGATGAGGGTGATGGTAAGCGGGCCAGGGTAGAGGATTCCAGCGAGAAGAGACTTGTACAGACCTGATGTTGGGTTTTTGTTGTCATCCAAACACACATGGATGTTGTTGTTGTAGCTGAGACGACCCACGCCGGTAGCCAGCAGAATGGTGGTAAGCATGATGGGAACCAGCCAGATGATGACAACCATTGGTACCATTGTGCAAGCCGTGTATATCTTCTTGTATGCAGTGACGTGCTTGGTAATCAGCAGCATGCGATTGACGGCAATGGCTGCGATGCTGAACATGATCACCCCCGCCGCGATGGGCGACAGGAAGGCCACGGTCAGGCATAGATGCTCCAGCGAGGGCGGTAGACTGCTGCGTATCAACACTATCACTGCGTTGGTCAGAGCGCACAGACACATCAGGAGGTCAGCTACGCTGAGGTTGGCCACAAAGACATTGGTGATGGTCTGAAGCCGGCATGACAAGGCAACTGCCATCAGGACGATGGCATTCCCTGTAATGCCAATCAGGGAGATGATCAACACACTAATGGAAACAAAGACTCGGCCACCGTATGTGTATAGCGATGTGCTATTAGAATCTTGCCAGTCAGTGCTATTGAATGGATCAACAAGTGATGGATCAACAAGAGTGGTGTTGCTGTTATGCAACACTGTCGAATTACTGATGTTGAAAGCGTCAGAAAGCTGTGGTAGGAAAGTTGTGTTATGCAATGCCATTGTTTACGGCACTTTGTGGGTCCAAAACACAACTTGTGACTGATGAGAGTTTCAGTATTGCAAGGATCTGTGTTGCTGCTTTCACGCAAACTTAAACCTCAGCTGTGGAGAACTGTTGAAAAAATGCTTGTAAAAACCGAGCCACAGAGAGCCTGTTTGGGGTTCTGGATCTGTGTGAATTGTACCTGGAGGCAAGCCAGTCTTTTATAGTGGTCTTGTAGAAACTGAAACATGAAGTAAATAATAAGTCATCCTGTCAGAGATGCAGTTTTTCAGGTTTGTGATTTCTTACTGAATGAGAGTGAAACATAAATAAGGCATTGATGGTTTGTACATACGTGTATTTATTGATTCAACAGTTCATGGAAATTCTTTCAGGCTGTGTAGAGACTTACATGTACGCAATTGAAACCATGGTACATTCACCGTGTTTACGTGTACAGTGGTACAGTTACACCACCTTTCCACAAATGTGTTTTAGTCATTTTCTTGTTCATTATGTAAACAGTTAAACATGAAGTTGATATACATGCTTAAAAAGGGCGCCAGAACAGACAGTAAAGTGCACAATGGCAGCTTCATGCAGACTTGCCAGATCACATACATCAATATGTATTTCAAGTTTTCCGTGGGTATGTACAAACATGGATGTGCCTACCAGACATCTTTTCGCGCTGCCTCACAGTCTCATACCATTTACAACTTCTACAACAAATCAACAAATCTGTTTTGTACCTTCATTCTTGCAGGTTGTACGACATTTCATCAAGGAATGGCTAGAGAGAACCAAACCTCCCTTTGGAACTCTGGGCAAGGCCGTCCTTCTACTTATTATCTACTCCACCTTCTGCGATACGTTCTCCAATACAGCGTTGCATATAGACCACTACAGTTTATGTGCAATGGTTTTTATAGGTAGGCATCAAACAAGCAGTTAATTTGCAAAACAAACATTACTTTATGGTTTGTGAGAACAATCTACTTTCGAAGCTTCAATAAAAACATGCCTTTGGGTGTTGATTTTGAAGGTCCTTGATCGCTGCCGGTTGAAACCAAAAGATTGGTTGGATTTCAAGTTTCTGTTTATGCAGGCTGCATGGAGAGGTTAAAGAAACAACTTTGGAGGTTTAGAAAATTTGACCCTTAAGCTTTGAAACCTGAAAGTGATGAACATTTCTTGGCCAGGGCTCGTTCACACAAGAAAACAGATGTGATGATGTTGCAAAGCCTCTGATGACAAGTTACATTAGTCCATTTGCAGTGCCCCTCTCCCCACCACAACCATACTGAATTCAATACTACCTGAAGACGACTACATCCCTGTTACAAAATGGTTATAGTGGCCACTTGCTTCTTTTATATGTTGAGCTTTTGTGTGAACTCTAACCCTATTTCTTTCTTTTTTCTTTTTTTCTGACAGTGTTTGTTCTTCAGGTGTGCCTTATATCCTTCACATTCTTCGTCTCTCAAGTGCAATATTTTGGATTCACTCCCAGCGACACTGTAGCAATCATGTTCTGTTCCACACACAAATCCCTTACACTAGGTGAGTTGCCGTTCGTCGATTGCTACTTGAATATTGATGACATAAATAGGCCTCAGTACTGCACTCTGCAAATGTACCTGTATTTTTTTATTCAAGAGCTTGTGAGAAAAAAAATCACAATCGGTTCGGTGGGAGTCGAACCCACAACCTCGTGCTGATTTGTGCAGATGTTTTACCCACTAAAGTAAACTTGCTAAGGATGGCTGGCCAGTTCAAATGTCATATGGAGTACAGAAGTGAATACGTCACGCGCACAAAATGTGTGTGAGAGACATTAGCGCGTGACTCGGCCCGCGAACCGAGACGCGCGCGTACTCCATTCCTTTGCACTACACTTTCTGGTTCTAAATGACGTCACACTTCAGTACTCCATAGCAGCAAGTTCCACAGTCAATGATTTGTGTAGAATTTTTGAAAATTAAAAATAGTGTAACTTGCAGAACTTGTTGTGTTGATGTCTACTCTTTTCTCTCCAATTCTGTCCTGACAGGCATACCGATGTTAAAGATTGTGTTTGCAGGCTATGAGCACCTGTCTCTCATCTCCATCCCCCTCCTGGTCTACCATCCCACACAGATCCTTCTGGGTGGTGTCCTGGTCAGTAGGGTCAAACAGTGGATGCAAACAGCTGAAAAACAGAGGTACGTACAAATGACCCTACACTTTGTCTATTATGTGTCTGCACTTGTTGCACGGTGTTGTCATTGGGGCCCAATTTCACGGCGCTGCTTAACAGTTAGCAGAAAAGTTATGCTTGGCATAGCAGAAAAATGTGCTAACCTTAAGCACTATTTCACAGCGTGGACATGCTAACGGTCGCGCATGCATGGAGATTTCTGTTGTTACGTCACTAAGTTAAGCAAATTTTTCCTCGGAACTTAAGTGTGCCTTTTGCTGTGCTTATGCTTACGGTCTCCATGAAATAGACAGAGGCTCTGTTAGCAGAAAATCGTGTGCTTAGCAGCGCCGTGTAATTGGGCCCAGGTCCCTTTCTGAATCCTCAAGTTTATTGAACTGTAACTTGATGTCGTAGAAATTGAGCGCAAGTACATGTTCAAGGCAGTTTTCACTAAAGTACCTGGACTGTGTTGGGATACAAATTGTATAGACTTACTGATACAGATGTGAAAGATATTGTGAAGGAATTTGGACTCAAATGCGTGTCAAGGTCATTTAGCAAATACTTGGACATGTTCTTTGTGATGTTTTTGTAACCGTAGTAAGGTTCTTGTCCATTATCAAAAGCCTAAGTTTTCAGACAATAGGCTTCATTCCAACCGCTTTATATTTCAGTGTACTTGAAGGATTCGAGGAAACGAAGTCCAATGCAACACCGGCACTTTTCCAAAGCATGTTTTCACTTATCCCTTTATTCTTTGTTAACATTTAATTGTAATCCCCAGGATAACAATAATTATTATTCAGATATACAGGTCAGCAAGTAACCTCACGCATCCACTTGCCAAAAAAACTAAATCTCTTCAGAAATAATTAATCATTAGAAATCATTTTGTTAACTTTGGAAAAACAAAAATTGAATACATTTTTCCTGCAGAGTTTATTGCTTAGTCATTGTATGTACATGTATAATCACTTCCTTAAAGTCTGTTCATAATTCATACATACGACGATGCGTTCCAATATTTTCACTGCAATTTACAAAAGTTCATCGCATTTCAAATCCAGCAAATTCTGACCAGGGATAAATCGTGACTTTGAAATTGCTTGACATTCATGATGTCCAAGTCTGAGCCAGAGTTGTCAAATTTAAATCTTTACTTTGAGAGGGTTTGAGTGATTGATTACTAACTAAAATCAAGTCTAAGTTACAAAGCATACATATCTAGTGAAGACTATTTCTTCACTAACCTATTGTTAAATTCACAGAATTGATGATTGCAATTATTGCAAAATAATATTTAACTCTCACAAGAATTCTTGTGTTGATGTGTGATTAATTTACATTTTGGATGTTATTTCTTTCCCTTATCTTTCTGCTAGGCTATCATCACCATCACTGCCAAAATAGACTCATGAGTTGCTTTCTCTTTGGCCTTTAGGGGGCTTCTAACATTGCTGTAGTAAGTGTGCATGCCTACATGTGTTTTGTTTCCTTTCTTGAGTCCATGTCTTTGTCTCTTTGCTCTTTAATTTTCTTATGTGTAATAATTGTGAGGTTTTCTTCAAGCTTTGTTTATTTGGTTCTTTACGTCCTGTTTGTTTGTTTGGTGTTTTTTTTTGGTGTGACTTCTTTGATCTGTCTGCTTAATATTAAGGGCACTCATTTTAGATTTTGTGTCTTTTGCTTGATACGCACTATTTTGCTGTAGAATTCACACAACTCTTCTTTCATGCGGGCCATCTCACAACAAAAATACCTAGAGTGGTTGAACTTTTTATGCTTTATTCCCAAGTATTATAAATAGAAATAAATAATGTATAAAGAGCTCACAAATAAGCTTGAAACACTTTTTACATGTACCTTGAAATGTTGCTTTGAAGGCCAGAGATCAATTTGAGATTATCTTACACAGCAACAAAAAAAAGAAACAATTTCTGAACTTTGCTGTGAAAATTTATACGATTAAATACTGATAACATCATTTCTTTTTCTCACCATCTAGAAAAGAGATGGCAAAAGGTGAGGAACCCCCCAACACCACCCCCAACAGTAGCAGTGTAGAGGCTCCAACTGATGTTTAAATATTTATATTTGTATATATGAATGGTGGTATTGTCTTTATCAGATTACTTCCAAATTAGTTCACGCCAAGAACTCATCAATATCCAACTAGTACCTAAAGGTTGGGTTACACCAGACGGCAAGAGTCAGTGGATTTTTTGCTTTGAAGATTTTGGTCACTCGATACACATGTACATGTGTCTCACACTTGCAGTGGATGATTTGGATTTAATTGAAATATTAAATTTTTCTAATGAGTTGACTGGCTGTGGTCCACACCTGTTCCCAATGACACCCTGCTTCTGTGCCTTCAAAGTGTCGTCGTTCATTTTCTGTCAATCAGGCTGTTGGATAGATTACAACTTGAAACCCTACTCTTAAAAGTTTATTTTGTTCTGCCTGTTGTCTGGTATTTGTGCAACCGAGTTTAACTTCAGTTTGGTGTGACTTTGTGGTGTGTATATCATTTTCCTTTGATTTATGTGCTTTTAGGGTCTTTTTATTTTTATATAAAACTCTGAAATGAAAACTGGATATAACAATTGTGTGGGTGAAAAGAAACTAATGTTTTGAAGTTACAGTTTTGGATTCTGAATCCGGAAATTGTGTTTTTGGAAATTGTTCAACCTACTTAATTTTGAACACCTCTTTCAATCTATGCTTTTTTTTAATGGAGCACCTTGTAAATTTATTCAACTCAAAGAAACTGAAGAAATTGCTAATCAAACTTCAGTTCCTTTGATTTGCAAGAAATCCTGTATCCATATTTGTGGCTTTTACAGGGTGTCATGTGTACACAGAAACAGCATTATATAAACATGGATTATGAAGTAATGATAAGACTCCATTACCTTTGCAACATGTTACGAGTTTATTATTTCCCAATATTAAACATAGATTTATTAATGGATGAGAACACTAATATTCTTGACTCTCTTAATTATACATATACCTTAAATCTAATAGTACTTAACACTTCAGGTATTTAATAGTTCTACATCATGTATTTAATTGATCGTAAAAATATTAACAAGTTACACTTCTACTTTTCTGTTGGCAAAATAGAAACATGACAGGGGTTCAAAAACAGATGTACAGAAACAAGTTTGGACTGCCTATTTCAAGTCTTTGCTGAAATTCCGTCCTTAATGCCCCTTTCTCACACATTTTTTGTTTCAGATAAAGTTAGATAACTATTATATTATACCTGACACATAACAAAGCAATCTCATCAGGCAGGTTAAAAAAACATACCTCTCACATACATTGTATCTTTGTTTTCCTTGATACTTCAATCTCGTTTCACTATCAGTTAGATCAGATGTTATTATTACAATCATATTTACACAACCAAAGGCAACGAACCAAGTAGGCACTCTTTCTTTGCTTAAAAGTTTTTAAGTTTTTCTGATTTTCAAATTGTTTCGTTAATTCTTTTTTTAGTTTTTGTTTTCTCTGTGTGTATTCTTTAAAGCGGAAATTTGTTATGTTGTATTTTGTTATTATTTTGTTTTCTTTGGAAATAAAAGAGTATACAGCTTTTTTATATTAAATTTGAATGGTGTGTGGTGCCTTAAATGACGGTCCTTATCCTTTCAGGATGGATACAGTGCAGGATTCTCTTTACTATGAAAAGATATATTCAAACAGTCACAACTTTTATGATATCTTTAAAGTGCTTTTTATTTGTGTAGTTAACCGAAGTCACAATGTTTAAAAGTAATCATGATTTTGACACTCCAGTGGTTATGGGGTATTCCTCTCTGGTTTCACAATGTTTTTAAACTTCATATAAAAATAATGAGGATTTTAAATCTTGTTTGCTCATCTATAGTGAAATGAAGACTGTTAACCATAGAACCTTTTTATTTTTGGTCAGTGGATGTTTTTAATTGTGATCAGACTTTTTTGATGGACACATCTTAAGAGTTATATATATTCCCTTTTCTCTCTCTATTGGGCTCAAAGTTTAATATCGCTAAATCACATGACCCCCTTTCTTGCATATCTGAAAGAAAGTTGTCATGTAAAAATGTAAATATCAATATATACAAGAAGAAAGTATAACTTCCTTCCTGCTGCCAACCTCAAACTAATTTAATTTCTAATACATGGGTTATTCTTCAAATTTGGGATCCCCTTTATTCTGTCCCTTTTACATCTGACATGATTTTAAAATTCCAATGCATTAATTAATGCCGTCGTCCTCCAAGAGTGATTATGAACTGCGAACTACCCACCCAACAAATACAAATTAATTTTGAAGTCAATCTTTATACTTGAATGGCAAATTACAAAGTAGGCCTACCACAACAGGACAGGAAATATATCACACTTTGGACCCCACATTTATAGAATGACCCATTGACCCATGCTGTTTCAAACTTTTACAAAGAGTTCAAGAAGTAAATATGACAAACTATTTTAATAGGTCACCCACCTTACCACCTTCAAAAATATTATTCTGTCACCCCAGAAAATTCTAATAGTAAAGTGTGTTAAAATAATACGAAAGTAGAATACAACCCAATTATTTTATACAACTTTCAACCCACATTAATATTTCATGATTGAACCCTAATACATAAATGATAAAAAAAAACTTATAAACATTCAACTCTATAAACAGAGGGCGCCATATCGCTAGACAGAACGAGGGATTGGGAGCTAGTCTATTTATCGCACGTGTAATTCGTGGAGGAATGAAATATACTTCCCCTTGTTTTCTGCTTGTTATGAGCTCGAACCATCGAACACCCAAATTTCGCCAGCGCCATTTTATGGAATATTAGCGGCAGATTTGAGGCGAGATGTTTCAACGTGTTTTTCAGTAAAATGGATGCATTCTTCAAAGGAATGACTGAACAGCCATACAGGTATGTACATTGTGTTACGAAAACGTCATATTTCAACTTATTTTGTTTACAATCTACCCTATTTGTTCCATTTTTACTGGGTCTATGTACGACTACGAGTACGAATACAGGTCAACTCGTACGCGAGCCAACTCGTACGCGAGTCAACTCGTACACGGGATAACTCGTACGCGGATCAGCTCGTACGCTAGCCAACTCGTACGCGTGAGTATAGACTAGGCCACGAGAATGAAAGTTATAGATTTGCGTCCACCGCCCGCATGCCTGAAAAGCTACCGCACGAAAATTTTCTTTATTTCAAAAAATTTCATTATTACAAAAAATTTCATTATAAAAAAAAAAAAAACTTTCCAAATCGCGCACAGCGGAAAGACGATCTATTTATCACGTAAATGCAGCTATGAAAACAGTATCATCGCTTGCAAACGTCCATCCCAACCTAGACCCGTGAACGTGGCTATATACATAGCCACGCTTCAGTCTATAGTAAAAACACTCTATTGTGATCCGCGGTTACTAAGATGGAGTGACCGTTCTAGCCGAATTTCGGCTACATTTGACAGAATATTTGCATACAAAAATGAGTTGTACAGAATATTTTTTTCGGCAAATTATGAAAATGAAGGAAAAATGAAAAAGATTAGAGAAATATGGCACATTTGGTTTGAAAAACCTTCATTTATTGAAAGATCCCTGAAACAAACCCTTGCACAATGGACCAGCAATTATACTGGGTGATTTGGCAGACTTTCGAAGTGGATTTAGCAGAATTGTATATGGTATTACGGTCATCCTGCCATGTAAGACGGTTAGTCGGGTACCCACCATGCCCACTGGCGATACTCAAACCGTTTTGCGCATGCGGAACTCGGGGTACCAGAGTGTCATGCCTGTCTTATATTTCTGATCATTTTGAAACATTCGTTGTGACAAAGTTGTGCCGTATTTTACATCAAATTTCTTTGCAATGACAGATCCAACACTCGTGTATATTTACAGGAAGCCCAACAAGTAAGTGATTCACCCATGTGCAAACTTATACATGGTTATATGTAGCGGATCAAAAGATAGAATGCGTTCGCTTGTATTTACCCGAGGGAAGCGCGTGGCATTGTATACAACGCCACGTTCACGGGTCTAATCCCAACCAAGCTTTTTCCCACAGAACCACTGCACAGTTTGCCCCTAAACTCCGTACAATACCTCATGACATACTCACGTTATGTGCACCCAACAAACATCGGTGGATTCTGTCTGTTTTCGGCAAAAATGATGAAAAATATGCCCTTTCCGCACTGAGCCAACCTAACACTTGAAACGAGCACGCGCGCAGATGATCGCAGTCATCTTCGGTTCGATCGCTCGGAGCGCGCCGCGGGGGGTATGGTGTAGGAGCGGAACGATAGAATGCGCATGCGTACAAGTGCAAGTACGTATCCCCCGCGGCGCGCTCCGAGCGATCGAACCCGAAAATGACTGCGATCATTCTGCACGCGTGCTCGTTTCAAGTGTTAGGTTGGCTCAGTGCGGAAAGGGCATATTTTCATCTTTTTTGCCGAAAACAGACAGAATCCACCGATGTTAATGTTAGGTGCACATAACGTGAGTATGTCATGAGGTATTATACAGAGTTTAGGGGCAAACTGTGCAGCGGTTCTGTGGGAAAAAGCTTGGTTGGGATGGACGTTTTTGTACTTAATTAGTGTTTTGTGCTGACAACAATTTTGCGGGGTTCTGTGTCTATGAGGCTCACTGGAGAGCCTCATAGTTCTAGGAGTACCGCAGATACAGAAGAGGCATTAGTCACGAAATCAGTGATATGATACCACGATCTACATGAGGCTCTGAGCTGTTTCATTTGTTGACATTCCTGGATAATTCGTTTTTAGATTCACATTTTTTCTTTAAAAAAAACCTGTGTGTAAACACCTGTTCACATAGTACAATATACTATAGGCCTACTATGGTTGTGTAAATATACTACATTACATGGGTGCAGCATGGGTGTATCATCAATATGTGAAAACTCTGGCTATGCCGCTGCTTGTATTATGTAAAACACCATGGTAAATAAAAAATAATGAATAATCAATAATGAAAAAAAGCCTCATGTGTTTTCAAAAAAGTCCGGACACAAATCTATAACTTTCATTCTCGTGGCCCTAGCAGCCGTAGCACAAGGGATTTGGTACAACTATAGAATGCAGGGCCACTTTACTCTACATCCGCGCCTCCGTACGGCTGCGTGACCTACCTCCGAAAATCGATCGTGGAGTCGTGGAGCCGCAGTCGATATCTCCGAGAATTGCGCCCTCTATCGGTGCGCGTCTCTGCGACTCCGCGCCTCCGCCACTCCAGTGCCCCGCGACTCTGCGACTCCCCGACTCCGCGCCTCCGCCACTCCAGACAGTGCCCCGTCGCCCTCCTCCCTTCCTAATTTGCGAGCCCATTTAAAATGGATATGGATGCTTCGTTCTCAAAAAAATTCCGCCGAGAATTGCGCCCTCTATCGGCGCGCGTCTCTGCGACTCCGCGACTCCGCGCCTCCGCCACTCCAGTGCCCTGCGTCTCCGCGACTCTGCGACTCCCCGACTCCGCGCCTCCGCCACTCCGATCCGTACCGTGCCCCCAACACATTTACAAGCACGCCCTCCCTTCCGATCCTTCATGAGAAGCTTAGAAGACAAGTCCATTCGCTGTACTTAGCACTTTTTGCAGGTTTGCATATCTATTAGTACTCCTATCCATCCACGCCTCCAAGCAAAATAAAAAACCTTGCTCCGGCATGGCCCTGCATTCTATAGTTGCTCCAGGGATTTTACTGAAATCGTAGGTTCGGTCGTGTAGGAAATTAGGGTCGGTCTAGACCCGTGAACTCGGCTCGTAAACTATGCCACGCTGTAGTCCGAGTAACTTCAGAACTTGGACCCAACTTATCGCCTTTTTTAACATTTGGACTAGTCCGAGTAACTTGGACCCAACTTATCACCTTTTTTTAACATTTGGACATGGTCTGGCGATAGTGGGGTCCAAGCTAAATACCGCGACCTGGACTAGTCCGAGTAACTTGGACCCAACTTATCGCCTTTTTTAACATTTGGACATGGTCTGGCGATAGTGGGGTCCAAGCTAATACCGCGACCTGGACAACATCATCCTGTCAGTCCCAAAAACCAACATTTTCCAACATTTTTCGGAGAGCTCCCCTCGCGATCTTGAACACGTTAAATTTCCGATCGTGTTTAATGTTTGAACGACGCGATTTCTTCTTGATGCCCAGCGTACATTCGATGGTCCCCGTATCCCGAGTGCGATTCCGTTACCGAGCGCACGTGATGCATCGATTATGATAATGAGTCACGTTTGTAAACACATACATGTGCATTTCGAACTGTAAAAGGGAATCGGGAACCAGCTTGAACTGATACCCGCCATAAAAGCTGCGCTAGTTCCCGACTCCCTGTTATAGTGGGGTCCAAGCTAAATACTGCGACCTGGACTAGTCCGAGTAACTTGGACCCAACTTATCGCCTTTTTTAACATTTGGACATGGTCTGGCGATAGTGGGGTCCAAGCTAATACCGCGACCTGGACAACATCATCCTGTCAGTCCCAAAAACCAACATTTTCCAACAAAAAACATCAGATTTCACCTTCAAAACGGCCTCCAAATGACTAGATATGCCACCTGAGGTACGAGTAGACATCGATGATTAAGATGGTTGTACTTAAGTTTACTTACGATCCCGAAAAAAGTGAAATTTTCCGTTCATTTCGGAGAGCTCCCCTCGCGATCTTGAACACGTTAAATTTCCGATCGTGTTTAATGTTTGAACGACGCGATTTCTTCTTCATGCCCAGCGTACATTCGATGGTCCCCGTATCCCGAGTGCGATTCCGTTACCGAGCGCGTGCGATGCATCGATTATGATAATGAGTAACGTTTGTAAACACATACATGTGCATTTCGAACTGTAAAAGGGAATCGGGAACCAGCTTGAACTGATACCCGCCATAAAAGCTGCGCTAGTTCCCGACTCCCTGTTATCGTTTGAAATGCACATGTGTTTACAAACGTGATCCAGTCTACTCATTATCATAATCGATGCCTCGCGCGCGCTCGGTAACGGAATCGCACTCGGGATACGGGGACCATCGAATGTACACTGGGCATGTAGAAGAAATCGCGTCGTTCAAACATTAAACACGATTGGAAATTTAACGTGTTCAAGATCGCGAGGGAAGCTCTCCGAAATGAACGGAAAATTTCACTTTTTTTTCGGATCGTAAGTAAACTTCAGTACAACCATCTTAATTATCGATGTCTACTTGTACCTCAGGTGGCATATCTAGTAATTTGGAGGCCGTTTTGAAGGTGAAATCTGATGTTTTTTGTTGGTTTTTGGGACGGTGTTGTCCAGGTCGCGGTATTAGCTTGGACCTTACTATCGCCAGACCATGTCCAAATGTTAAAAAAAGGCGATAGATTGGGTCCAAGTTACTCGGACTAGCCACGCTGTTGTGTATTTTCGAACCTGGCGAAATTGTACCTCTGAGTCAGAGTCTGACTCCCTCCGTTACACACACTGGACGCTATTTTGCCAATGTAATAAGTACTCACATACATGTATGAAGCTGTCTTGAAATCTGTTTGTACGTCAAAACTTGCATTTGACGAAATTTGAGGAAAATTCTGGCCCCGGTTTATGAAGTCCTGCTAGCTGCCATTTTCTCCCAACTGACGCATACGCATTGCGTTTTATTGTACCGTCCTGTTTCGTATGATTCGATGGCTGTTTACTGTCACAGCTAAAAGAGACATCGTTTAAGACGAGTTTCAAGTCCTTTCCCCTCTCACCGCACCGCACGCGGGCGCACGTGCGCCCACGTGCGTGTGCGCACACGTACGTACATGAGATGAGCCGAGCAGCCTATCGGGTGCGGGGTTGGTTTTTTTCGGGGTTGCGACATGAAACAGCCGTCAATCTGTTCAAGCGACT